CAAGGTCATGTGACTGCCATTTGCAACCTTCCTAGCCTGCGTCCGATAAGCAAAGTCAATGGGGGAAGCTGGACTTGCTTAACGACCGCGTGTTTCACTTAACAACTTCAGCGATTCACTTAATCGTGTCAAAAAAAAATACATAGTAAAATCAGCCGTGACTCACTTAAAAACTGCCTTGCTTATCAATGAAAATTCTGGTCCCAATTGCTATACCTCAAGCTCTACTTCTACAGTACCCTGCCAATATGGGTTTTCCTCGACTTACGACCACGATTGAGTCCCCAATTTACGTTGCTAAGCTTTGCCCCATTTTATGACTTTTCTTGCCACAGTTGTTAAGTCAATCACTGCAGTGGTTAAGTTAGTAACACGGTTGCTAAGTGAATCTGGCTTCCCCATTGACTTTGCTTGTCAGAAGGCCTCAAAAGGAGATCATGTGACTCTGGGACGCTGCAACCGTCATCAATATGAGTCAGTTGCCAAGCATCTGAATTCTGATCACATGACCATGGGGATGCTGTGATGGTCATAAGGATGAAAATGGTCATAAGTCACATTTTTCAGTGCTGTTGTAACTTTGAACGGTCACTAAATGAACTGTTGTAAGTTAAGGACTATTTTTATTGGCAGGGATATTGTTTCCTCCTTGGTGCTTCTTTCTAACTATATAAAATTATATGTTTAAAAGTCAGTCAGAAAAACAGTGGATTATTTGCCAAATGCAGCTCCTTCATGTGTCCTTTTTGTTAATTCAGGGGCTTTTCTAACTTCCTCTTCCACGGTTTAATGGAATGCTCACTTTGTACCTTCAGGGGTGTCTGGGGTGTGTGTCAAACAAGTCTAGTTGGAGGCCACAGCCCTGTGCTCAGAACTCCACCCTTTTTAATGATGTGTACCATAAAAGGAGTTGGGCTTTGGGCATAAAGATGTTGTGATGACCCAGGGCACAGCACAGAGGCAATGCAGTCAACTGGCAATTCAAACAGTTCTTTTATTGCTCCAAATTTTCCCCAAATGCTCCCACTTTTGCTGGCAAGCCTCCAACAAAAGAACACACACACCCCCCTTCAGCTGACTCTGGCTGAAAGTAGGTTCAAATAACAGGCTGATTAGCATAAGAAAGAACTCAAGGCCATAGCGATCACAAGGAAGAAAACATAAACTTAGCGAGTCTGTTTGAATCCTAGCTTGCCTGAGCAGTTTTCAAAAGAGAGAATCCGAAATACAGTCCGAGGTTACATTCAAGTAACGTCAGTCAATCCAATAGTTTGAGTTTCCAGGTTTCCAAACAGAAGTCACAGAACAAGAGACCAGCAATAATATACAACATTCCAAGAATCAGCGTTCGTTTTCCAACAAATGCCCCTCCCCACAGCGTCTCCTTAAATCTCCATCTCCAGGTGTTCCTTGTGGAGAAGGGCGGGACGCTCTCCTCCCGAGTAATTGAGCCTGCTTGCGTTGTTCCCTCCTTCTCTCCACTCTCCGTGCTCTAGGATCAGGTGGGGGTGGCCCTTGCTCATTGCCTGAACTCTGCCTCTCCTGTTGCTCCAGTCCCAATCCTGAAGGGCCCTGGTCTGCCTCGGCCTGCTCTTCCCCACATTCCTCTGAAGCCACAGACCCCTCTCCCTCGGCCTCCATAGGGTCCCGTTCCAGTTCATTTTCCTCCGCAGATTCAGGCTCACAGACGGAAGCATGACAGATGTCGTTCCCATCTTTGAATGTGAAAAGTGAAAAGAAGAACTAGGGATGACATGATACCAATACCTCAGGGGCTGTCACAAAGAAGAGATGGAGTCAACCTATTTTCCAAAGCGCCAGAAGGCAGGACAAGAAACAATGGATGGAAACTAATCAAGGAGAGAAGCAACCTGGAATTAAGGAGAAGCTTTCTAACAGTGAGGACAATTAACCAGTGGAACGGCTTGCCTCCAGAAGTTGTGGGTCCTCTATCACTGAAGGCTTTTAAGATGAGACTGGACAACCACTTGTCTGAAATGGTATAAGGTCTGCTGCTTGAGCAAGGAGTTGGACTAAAAAATCTCCAAGATCCCTTCCAACTCTGTTATTCATATCAGAAGGGACCCTCCCCAGTTTTCCAGAGAATAAAAGGAAAGAAGGGAAGAAATTTTTAGTCTTGCAAGATTTTGTTAATGTAACCTTACAGTAAACATATAGCCAGTACTCCTGATTGTGCTTCAGGTCTGGATTACCTTGGAGGGCTAGCAACAGCCCAAGATCATGACCAACGGTCTGGAATTATGAGTTCTTAGGTTGCTATTGCACCAGGACTACATGTCAGATGGGTTAGCAGAACTTGGCTTTGGCAATCCAGAAGCCTGGCCCATTTTTATTCTCCACCCCATCCCAAACAGGACTTAGTACCAGTATTTCTGCTTTTTTTTCTACCACCTCACTGCTTTCATGCTGGAAATCTTTCTCCTTGATGCACAAAGATTCTTCTAACAGTTGGGCTGGGGGTGGACATCAGATTCCAATACTGCCACAGTTCTCTGCACTGTTGCCCTAAGAGCACAATCAGGCAGTAGAGAATATATGAAATACTGCTTCCCTCTGCTGGCACAATAGAGCAAACAAAGTAAAACAATATCTTGATTTTTTTTTTAAAAAAAAAAAGAAAAATATTGTTACATAAACATTACAGAACATTCCAACCTTCAGGAGATCACCTCTGCTAAGTTGGCTTTGCAAAAATTAAAAACAAACAAATATTACTGTATAGGATAAAAATCCAACTAAGATGCCTTGGATAACACCAAGTTCATTTCTCTATGACAGGGTTCACACATGACACTAAGAGACACCATTTCCCTAACCATAGTTTGCTGTATAAGCTACAGGTAGGCTGGCTTTACACAATATGCTATGTCAAATTAGACAATATTATGGCTTATGCGATGTATGAATGCAGCTTTGGTGCGATTATGGCAGGCTCTGCTCAACTTCCAACACTAAACATGTATGCATCAGGAGGTTTGTGTATAATTTCCCACCAATATTGTATAAAACATCAACAGACTGGATGAAACAATTTTACTATTGAGCATTCTCAGATTCAGGTTGTATTCAGTAGCCTTAAACTCAGCGTTGCTCAACTTGGCCTTTTGAAAATGTGTGAACATTCAGGGAATTGAACACAACACAAAGTAACTAAGGTTGAGAAACACTGCTTAAAACCCTTCAATTGCCTGAATATTGTCTTTGCACAAATGCACAGCTAATGCATACAATCTGCATATTAGCTGTAACTGACATAGTTATGGGATGCAAACAGGAAACAACTTCTACTGTACTGGCAAAAACTCAATTTCTCCTTACTGATGGTCTGATGCTATGCATGCCTGAGTTCTAGATAGCAAATTTCTTTTGTAGGATCTCTCTCTTTAGAAGCGAGATCACAATGGAAAATCAGTCTCCTAGGGCAAGATTTCTCAATCTTGACAATCTTAAGATGTGTGGACCAACTCCCCGAAATTTCAGAGTTGACATACATACATCTTAAAGTTGCTAAGTTTGGGCAACACTGCTCTAGGGAATGTTTTACTACTCTTACTTTGAATGTCATCCTATTTCTCCCTCTTTCCTTTAGGTTGACCTACACATTTCTTCAAAAATAAACAACATGACATTCTTCTGCAAGGTGCTGCTGGCCTTCTGGGTCCTATTTGAAGGTACTTTTGGACAAAAAGAATGAAATCTGCCTTGGTAACATTCTCTCAAATTGCATCGCGATGACCCATCAGAAACGTATGGCCTATCTCATCTAATTCTTTGTAGATTGGGTTTCAAGTTGCTTGTAGACCGATTTCTCACTGGTATAACTACTGGAGTTGTCAACCTTGGCAACTTTAAGATGTGTAGACTTCAATTCCCAGAATTCTAGAAGCTGAAATCCATACATCTTAAAGTTGCTACAGCTGAAAAACACTGTTATAGAGTATAATACCTATGATATTCACTTTAGTGCTTTTTTTTTTCCCAGTAGTGTAAGGAACAGGAATACAAAGAGCAAGGCAGGGGGATATGGGTTTGGGTCATAACATAGGAGAGTATGTGGCTTTGCATAAATACTGTATTCTTCCCCCCCCCAAAAAAAAAAATATGTGGATGACTGGAGTCTCCCCCCAACCCTGCCGCGTTGTTCATTATGGACAACAATTGCGGCAGCTTCAGCTACCCAGAAGAGCTACGTCCAGCAACCATTCATGGCATCTGGTACTTCAACAGTCTATACCCCAAGAATTAGCCCCCAGGAGTTTATAATGATGCCAGTCTCAGGGGAAGGAAATCAAGAATTCCCCAGTCTCTACCCTGAAACTGTCTCCCATTAAATCTATAGCTCTGGGAACACTATTCAGTCTCACTGCTTAGACACTCTCAGCCATAGAGATGAATGATCTCAATGGCCTTTCCTGCTGATTCAAAGGCAGCTGAGACAGTGGCGTAGCGTGGGTTGTCAGCACCCGGGGCAAGTAATTTGCGCCCCCCTCCACAGTGGGCGGCGTCAGCGACCCGGCGGCTCGGATCAGATTCGCACAGCCAGCACTGCAGAGAGAGTGAGTGAGCCAGGCAGGGGCAGAGAGCTGCGAGTGCGAGCGCGCCCCCCAGATGTTGCGCCCGGTGTGGCCGGCCCCCCCTGCACCCCCCACGCTACGCCTCTGAGCTGAGATGCAGGTAACACAGACATGAGGGAGGATCCTGAGAGGGACCCTCAAGACGATCCCTATTCGTTATACCCAGTAAGAGGGGCCGGTGATCTCAATCAATATGGTACAAGGCAGCTTTTGGGTAAAGCATAAACTGCCAAGTGGGTGAATGGTGCCACGTGGAGCAAACACGGAGAGAGAATGGTCACAGCAGATAATGAAAAAACTCAAGACCAGCCATGAAGCAGGCAGTCATTCAGCAACCATATGTTTTTTTCTATCTCATTCATTGTGACTCTCTTCTGCCTCTTTTGCAAAGGGGTCTTGGCAGGACCGTGGAGCGCCTGGATGCCCGAACACATCACTGCCTTTGAAGGCACCTGTGTGGTTATCCCCTGTCGCTTCAACTACCCGGAAGAGCTACGTCCAGCAACCATCCATGGCATCTGGTACTTCAACAGCCCATACCCCAAGAATTATCCCCCAGTGGTTTATAAATCCCGCACCAACATTGTCCATGAGAGCTACGCTGGACGCAGTAGACTGCTGGGAGAGCTAAATTTCCGCAACTGCACCCTGCAGATCTCCCGTCTCAACCCTGAATTCACAGGGAAGTATTACTTTCGGGGAGACCTCGGTGGCTACAATCAATATACCTATCCAGAGCACTGCAACCTTGAGGTCATCAGTGAGTATCAGGCAATGCTAGTGGGAAATACCAGTTCTAACTCTTGCTTATATAGATAGGGTTGAGTCTAAGCTGGTGAGCCCTTTCACACAGTATGAGAATCAGCAGCATTTAAGGGATGTAGAAGCCTTCCATAGAGAGAATGGAATGGAAGGGAACTGTTTATTGGCCAAGTGTGATTGGACACACAAGGATTTTGTCTCCGGTGCATAAGCTCTCAGCATACATACAATATAAAATGATGATACATCATTTTGTTTGAGTTTGCAATCTCAAACGGAAACAATTCCCTAGCTATCTGCATTCAAGAAACTAGTCTGATAAGAATAAATAGATAAAATAAATCAAAATTGCCAAGGTATTTTGCTAGAATTATACAATGAGCCTTATCTCCTTAGAGAAGGGGTACAGTAACAGAATCTGGACTTGATAGATCCTTCTTCACAATGGCGCAATCTTAGCTCATAAGGATTATTTTTAGTATTCTCCAAGGAAGCTAATCTTTGATATATCCAGAGTTCCTCTAACACTACAGTATCAGTTCCTAGTGTGTGAATTTGATTTAATGGCAGTTACTACTACTAAATACTGCTAAAACTCTCATTGTATTTATCCATTTGTCTACACGTACCCTAAGGTTAGTCCAAACTTTGCATTTTACTGCAACTATTATTTAATCAAGCTATTCAAATTGGCTAACTTAAAGAATGTATAAAAAATCTGTGACCCATTACTTCTGTGGGATTGAAATTCCCATGATGATCAGTTTTATTCATAAAGTCGTGGCCATTACAGTGTCACTAGAGTTACGTAATCGTGATTTTCATCACTCTCTGTCAGCTTCCCACAAGCAAAGTCAATGGGGAAGCTGGCAGGAAGTCAAAAGTCGCTCCCACTGCTTTTTTAACCTTCCCTTGGTCATTCTGTTTATTTGTTTACGTAAGTAAATATTGACTTACAAGTATTACGAAAGCTTGCTTGCCGCCACAGTTATTTTTCTATTTATGATACATATTCTTCTAGATGCTCACAGGATTATCCAAGCTTTGGGTTAAAAAAAAATAGCCTAAAATGTAACACTCGTTCTGGTCATATCGAACTGTTATTACTTTCTCTTAAAAGGATGATCCAACTGGTTTGTCTAGTACCCTCTAAATTGGAGGAGAAGATAGGAGTGGGGTGATTCCATCTTCTACATGTTCTCTGTCTCTTTCTACTCCATAGACAAGCCCACAATTGTGAATCCTCCAGAAGTGGTGGAGGGTTCAGAAGTAGAGCTGCGCTGTGAGGTGCCTGACAATTGTCCAGACATGAAACCTGTCATCACGTGGATGAACTATGAGAATTTGGCTGAACATTCAGTCTATGCACAAATAGAGGAAGAAGGTGGCATTTGGTCACTCATCTCCATCCTTAAGTTCCTACCAGTGCGTGAGAACCACGGCCATGAGGTGGGCTGCAAAGTCAGCTACCCCAACACCACTTTTGAGTTTGAGGGCTTCTCGACACTGGATGTCAAATGTGAGTTGGATGTTGATAAGTAGAACTTTTAAGGCAGTTTGCCATCTTAATCTTGGAGAACACTGGAGGACTTCTGCCACAAGACTTGATGGACTCAGGCTCTTTAATTACCTCCATAGTATGATACATTCTGATGTGATGTTGCTTTTCTGCAACCATTTAAAAACAGAATTTAAACCATGGCTCAACATTTAATAAATTATTATACAGATAGTCCTTGACTTACAACAATTGGTTTAGTGATTGTTCGAAGTTGCGGTAGCGCTGAAAAAAAATGACTTACGACTGTTTTTCACACTTAAAAGCATCCCCAGGGTCACATGACCAAAATTTGGATGCTTGGCAACTGGCATGTATTTATGATGGTTGCAGGGTCCCGGGGTCATGTGATCACCTTTTGCGACTTTCTGACAAAGTCAGTGGGGAAATTAGATTCATTTAACAACCATGTTACTAGCTTAATAATTGCAGCGATTCACTTAACAACTATGGCAAGAAAGGCTATAAAACGGGGCACAACTCACTTAACAAGTCTTGCTTAGCAACGGAAATGTGGGCTCAACTGTGGTCATAAGTCAAGGACTGTTTGTAGTATCGGGAAATGTCCAACATCAGGATACGATTCTGTCTTCCACAAAATAACTATGGTGAAAGAAAGCCTTGTTTTCTAATGTAAAAGTCCATAATTTTAATTAGATGGCTCAAGCTTCTGTCCCAGAAAATTGCTTCCTATTCTGCATGGGTGAGAGAGATTAGCAGTTAATTTAGCACAATTATGTGGTAATTAATGGATTCCTGGCACCGGTGCCATGTGAAAAGCATTTTTTTTTTGTTCCTGATTTAATTTTAATGTATTCTTTTTCCTTTTTTATTGTCAAAGATGATCTGTTTTGCAAGTCACATTCCTCAAACGTGCATATTTCATTTCTCATGAGACTTCCTTCATCTCTAATCAATGTCACTTTCTCTTCCATGGGAAAACGAGTAACTGGGAATAGATGGTTTTAAATGAAAAATGACCTAGAGTGCTAACAGCTTCTCACCCACTGTCATTTTTCCCTCTTAAATTCTGAATCTGCTTTTAGTTCTCTTACAAACAAAAAAGCTAACGTAGCCAGGGAAACGTTACACACAAACATAAGGAAAAGTACTTTTTTTTTAAATTAGACAGCTATCCACCTTCTTCAAGGCCTTGCAATCTCATCATTTAAATGGAATAAAATCGCTCAAATTCTGCTTTTGTTCACATAGGGAACAAAGGGAAAAAAGTACTAACTGGACTGTGATCAAGAAAGTCAAGATAGCAATAGCACTTAAACTTATATACCACTTCATAGTGCTTTTACAGCCCTCTTTAAGCAGTTTACAGAGTCAGCCTATTGTCCCCAACAATCTGGGTCATTTTACTGACCTCGGAAGGATGGAAGTCTGAGTCAACCTTGAGCCAGTCAGGATCGAACTCCTAACAGTGAGCTGAGTTAGCCTGCAATACTGGATTCTAACCACTGCACCACCACAGCACTCATGATGATGATGATGCAATGCCCATAAAACACAACAACAAAAACAGTTTTGGTTGCCCTAATGTGATTGCTGTCCTGATTTTTTGGACCATACTCGGCAGATCCCTTTCTTACTACCTTTATCTGCTGCAGAAAGAAAACTGGATATGCGCCCAAAGCTGATCTCTTTATCTGTCCTTTGCAGATCCACCCCGTATCCTGCAAGTGAACTCCTCCGTGGAAGTCATACACGGTTCTCACGTGTTCTTGATGTGTATTGTGGACAGCAGCCCCATAGCCATGATTACCTGGCTCCGAGAAGACGAAATTCTCCACGAGGACTTAGCTGGGAACCTCACGCTCTACCTCGACAATGTAACACACCTGCAGGACGGCATCTACACTTGTGTGGCAGAGAACATTTATGGCAAAGACAACCACTCCCTTGCCGTGTCTGTGCTGTGTGAGTGCTAATCTAGGGCTCTGGAATGGAATCCCCATTCTGTGATAAAGCCTAATTTTATTTATTTATAAAATTTATTTGCCGCCCCTCTCATATCCAACAACTCTGGCAACGAGCATAACCTGGAATCCATTAACGCTACCCAAAGTTTCTACAACATCCTTTAAAATTTTTAGAAACTTTGAGTAGCATGAGTGGGTTCCAGGTTATGCTTGCTGCCAGAGTCCTTGGATACATTTTAAAGTTTAAAATGTAAAAATAAAAATGGAAGGATAAAGTTGTGTTCTCAACCCTGGAGTATTACAGAGCTGGAATTTTTTTTAGCTCCTTTTAATTTGTCTTTTTTTTAAAGTAAAAAAAAATGCATCAAGCCTATCAAAAGCATAGAATGAGGACTTTAGTGTGTGTGTGTGTGTTTGTAATTACAGCAGAATTTCTCAACCAGAAACTTGAGGATGGGTAGGCTTTGTTTCCCAGAATTCCCTAGCCAGCATGCTGCCAAAGTTGAGAAGCACTGAATTTTTTACTGTGGGCACAACGGCACACATCTAAATTTCATTTTTGATGTGTACCGTTGTGCCCACAGTAAAAAAATGTCAATAAAGGTTATCTTATCTTATCCTACATCCAAATCTACTCTGGATGCTTCCATGCCGCCACTGTTTTCATTTATCTCTACAAAACATATTGAAACTGAGTAGCGATCATCTTTACATGTTCAGAAACCCTGGGAAATGCAGGAATCACAGCAAAGTGCCCTCAACAATTAACTAATAGCAAAGCATGAGAAACAGAATTTTTTTCTGCAGACCAGAGAAAAAGATCTAGGGGCCACATGTTAGCCACAGACCATTGGCTATCCATACAGTACCTATCACTGGAGGTTTTCAAGAAGAGACTAGACCAGCGGTTCTCAACCTATGGGTCGCGACCCCATTTGGGGTCGATCGACCATTTCATGGGGGTCGCCAAGCAAGGCTGTCCGCCATTTTTTTCCCCTTTTCCGGCAGGTGCCTTACCTCCCTTGGGCTGGGCCAGCTGGTGGTCGGCCTGCTTCATCTCTGCCGCTTGCCAGCTACGCCTCGGCCGGTGCAGGGGGCAGAACCATGCATGCGTGGCGCTCCCGGGCAGGGAAAGTCCTCGACTTACGACCGGTTGGGTAGTCCTCGACTTATGACCAGTTTAGTCCTCAACTTACAACCTGTTTAGTCCTCGACTTACGACCGGTTGGGGGTCGCGGCATTAAAAAGGTTGAGAACCACTGGACTAGACAGTCATTTGTCTGAAATGGTATAGGTGCTCCTGCTTAAGCAGGGGCCTGGACTAGAAGACCTCCAAGGTCCCTTCCAATTCTATTCTATTCTATTCTATTCTATTCTATTCTACTCTACTCTACTCTACTCTACTCTACTCTACTCTACTCTACTCTACTCTACTCTACTCTACTACTATGATATTGCTAAGTTTGAAGGAGTTTCAACATTGCTTAAATCTTTGAAAGAATATCTTTTGAACCATTCTGGGATGAGGAATCTGCTCTTAGCTAGGGAGACCATTTGCACCATGTTTTGGTAAAAAAAAAAAAGCAGCATATTCTTCCTGACTTGTCTCCCTGTAGATGCTCCGTGGAAACCAGTAGTCAATGTATCAGTGGTGGCCATTGAGGGAGAGCCTGTAACTATTTTCTGCAGCTCGCAGAGCAGCCCTGAGCCAACGATCACCATCTTCAAGGACAAGAAGGCATTAGCCATGGGGATCTACCAAAACCACGTGGAGTTGGAGTTTGAATCCGTGTCACACGAAGATGATGGTGAATACTGGTGCACAGCAGAGAACCAGTTTGGCCAGAGCAGCACTGCTTTCAATCTCACCGTTGAATGTGAGCACTGGCTTTGTGCCCTGAGAGACCTCAAGATCTCAAGCATATTTTGGGATTGGGTAGAGTGTGCTGCTGGATCATGCACTTTGAATGCAGATAGGCTTAGCTATGAGCTCTGTTATTTCCTTGAAAGATCCTTTCTTAAAGCTTTGGGGAACTGTTGGCAGTAAATTTGGATAAAGCTGGAGAAGAGGGACTAGCTAATTCCTCCTCTGTATTATTGTGGACCTGGAGCTATGCCTCTCCCCATTTATTCTCTTTTCCCTGATGTATTCGTTGGAAGTATACATCCCAAGAATGTGGACCAACCCATAGCTCTGTCATATACTTTTGCATAAATAGAGGGGCTTCCGTAGAGAGGACTTCTGTAGTCCAAGAAAGCTCTTAAGAGCCGTGATGGCACAATGATTAGAATGCAGTATTGCAGGCTAACTCTGCTCACTGTCAGGAGTTTGATCCTGACTGGCTCAAGGTTGACTCAGCCTTCCGAGGTCAGTAAAATGAGAACCCAGATTGTTGGGGGCAATATGCGGACATTTGTAAACCGCTTAGAGAGTGCTGTAAAGCACTGTGAAGTGATATATAAGTCTATTGCTATTAGTTCGACCTGTGACTGCACTTCAGCCTCTTCTTTTTTTCCACAGTTGCTCCACGTATTCTTCTGGACTCCAAGTGCACTGCCGCTCGGGATACAGTGAAATGCATCTGTGCAGCCAAGGCCAACCCAGAAGCTATGATCACCTTTGAGTTGCCCACTCGCAATGTGACGGTCAATGAGACTGACCGGGAGTTTGTGTACTCCCAGAAAACAGGCTACATTGTCACCAGCATCCTGACTGTTCAGAGGGAGGTGGACTCTCAGCTCTACATAGTCTGCTCTGCCAGGAATCTCTACGGCACCAAGAACCAGCAGCTCCAGTTCCATCACTCCAGTGAGAGTCCCTGCAGGCAAACATCTCCTCTGATCCCTCTGGTGCTCTTCCTCAATCTATTGGGCCATATGGGCCTCTAAGCCTCCCCAGAGCTGCCATCAAGAGCCAGCCTTATTAGTTGTCTGCCAAGGCTCACACACCAACTATTGGCCCATTGCAAAGCCAGTAACCCCCTGATCTTGCTGGGTCTCCCCCTTGGTGGGGCTCTTTCCTATTCAGTTGCCCTCTTCAAGTGAGAAGGCATGACTACTACAAAGAACCACAACTTTTGCTTACCTTGCCGTCTCCCTCTGGACAGGAATACGAATTAAACCTAGCGTTAGAAGGCAAAGTGTGGAAAAGAAGTTCAACAAATTGGCCAACTTTAGCCTGGAAAATAAACAATCAAAAGATTATGTGTTAGAAGTTTTCAAATATCAGCTGGGCTTTCACCTATAGGGGAGACACCAAACTTGGTTTTCTCTGACTCTAAAGAGGAGAACCTAAACTATCACCATTAAATTGCAAGCAAAAAATATTTTCATTATATACCATACTGGGTAAAGCAAAACCTCTTGAGAGTATAAGCTACCAGAGTGGGACAGGCAGGATGTATGGAAAATTCCCCCACAAAAAAAATGTGGATCGCAGTCATGTGATTGCAGGACACTGCAACCAGACAAAAATGTGAGGTAGTTGCTGCCAACCACCAAAATATGATTGTCAATATCCAGCTCGAGAATCCAAATAAAACTCTAGATTCATTCCATTTTCAAAAATCTTACTGTTTATTGAATACATGGCACGGTAATGTTGAAGCAAAACTAACTTTGAGGTTCCCAGACACCAGTTCATAGAATTAAACAATAATTTCTCCAGCCAAACTCCCACTCTCTCACGTAGTTCATGTAAACAATTTCACTTTGTTATGGGAACCATCTGCTTCCTCTCCACACCTGCTACAGTGTCCTTGGAAAGGTTTCAGGCTCTCAGTCTTTGGCGGAATCTTAGAGGTTTTGTTTCTCCATCTAATCAATTCTAAAGCAACCCCCCTTACTCTTGAAATAAAGAGGCACATAACTACCAACGTTTCATTCTTGAGTGATCATGTGACTGTAGGGGAGGGTGCAGCTTCAAATATGAGTCATAAGTAGTTTTTTCTGTCATAGCTTTGAACAGTTGTTAAATAATTAGTTGTTAAGCAAGGACTACCTGTACTAAAATCCCTTTAAGCCTCTTCTAATCCCCATTTCCTGACCTCCTCTTTTTTGTGCAGGAGATCCAGTGATTCCATTGATCCCTTGTTTTTTGCAACAGTGAGATCTGTGTAACATGCCCTGCAAATCCAGCTGAGGTTTACTCAACAACCACCATTAAAACAAACTGGTGTTGGTGCCATGTATGAACCAACTTTTGATCCCATATTCCTGGTTTACATTCTACCATCATCTTGTCTCTTTATATGGTTTCTCTTTGCATTCACTTTTAAAACTTTCTGTTGACCCGTATCTTCCTTTCTTCCAGACAGTCTGATGTGGGCAAAGGTTGGACCAGTGGGAGCGGTTGTGGCCTTTGCCATACTCATAGCTGTGGTCTGCTATGTCAGCCAGGCCAGAAAAAAGTAAGTTTTGGGGAGAGGAGAAATCTAAACCCAAATTCCTTTGGTTTATACACAACTGAAAATGATTTTTCTTATGACTCTGAGATGCAAACACAGAGCAGGGTTTCCAAGGTAGTGGATCACCAATCGAGATTTGTGAGCACACAATTCAAGGGGGGGGGGTGTCTTGAAATCCACAGTATACACAGCCATCATTGCTCAGCTTTGCAGTAAGCCAATGTTGTTCAATTTGGCAACTTGAAGATATGTGGACTTCAACTCCCAGAATGGAGTTGAAGCTGGATGGGAAATTCTGGGAGTTGAAGTCTACGTATCTTCAAGTTGCCAAGATTGAAAAACACTGCATTAAGCCATAGTTAATGCTTCTTTAACTAGATTTTGGTGTGTTAGCTGAATCAAAGATCAAAGTGATGCATATATGTAAGTTTATCCTTAATGAGGAGCCCATGTTAATTTCCAGACAAGCTGATTCAGAACCTTGACTTACAACTGTAACTGACCCCCACACACAATTTCAATAGTAAGTTGTAACAGTCATATCATAAAGTGGGTCACCTTGTGACCACATCCAATTTTTGCCCTTTTTCATGGCAGTCGTAAAGCAAATGCCATGGTCATTAAGCGAACACGTTTGCTATTGGAAGGGTTTTTTTTGCCAGAAACTGGAAGTAAATACTGATTTTCAAGCAGAAACATCATAAATCACAGTTGTGTGACACAGGATACATAAATTGCCATAAATGCACGCGCCAAATGTCAGAACTTTGAATCTGAATTGTAGATCCCATTTTCAGGGTATGTTGTAACTTCAAACAGTCACTAAGCAACCAGAAATAAATTGAGGACTACCTGTTTTATGTTGTTCTAAGTCTTACGTTATTGGGGCAATTGATATTGTTTTTGTAATTATTCGCATTTCCCCAGAAAAAACAATGAAAATCCTGGCTTTGGGCAAACAGAAAACCCTCCTGTTGTGTACAGCGGAGACTACAGGACTCCAGGCAATCTGGAAAAATCAGAGGTACCAAGTTGCTTTTGGTAGGATTGCGTTGGTGGGTCCCCTCCCGGCAATACACACAACCTCTCTCACACAATCTCTCCTCTGCCTCTCTTTTGCTGCCTGGCCACAACTGCTGTAACTTGCTTCTGCCTCTAGGCTGATTCCATTCCCATCTTCTGGAAGGAGAGGACATACTCCTCTCAGCTCAGTATTTTAGAACAAGGCAAACCAGAAAGCTTCTTTAGGGAAGTAGGATGGATGCTTTCCCCTTTAGGGCTTTTCTGGGGCAGTACAGGCCATTGCCCTTAGACCTACCCATGGGAAGTGCCCTTCCAAAGGATGCTTTGTTTTGGATATGGTCAGAGAGGGGATACTTTTTCTTCCTAGTTTTTTTGCAATCATGTCAGAAGCACCAAGTTGCTTCCTGTGGAAAGGATTAGCTGGTGACATCACCACTGTCCTGGGGATGCCCAGTTTAGCTCTTTTCATGTCCCCAGCAGGAGCTAAACAAGAGCTTAACCCTGCCCCATGGCAGCTCTCGGGTCTCAAACGTGGTCTTGCTAAACTCCTGTCCAGCATTCCAACCACTCGAGCCACCGTGCTCCTTCATTCTTCCTGGTAGCAGGCCCAACAACGGTTTCCTTACTTGGGGTTTGCTGGCCTATTGATTTCATAGAAAAAAAGCAAGAGCAGACCCAAAATTATGACCTTGACCGGACAAGACACGAGAAGAAGCTCAGATGGCCGTTCCGCCCTACATCACTCTGTCACGGCCATGACCTGTTCCACAAAGATCCCCCCGTTTCAATCTCTCTCCCTGAATTAGCAATACTTCACGGCACCCCGAGCTCACTTCTTGGCAGGGTGGAGTTTGTCCAGGTTTCTCCCTTTGAGTCATTAGTGACTACTCTTCCTTTTCTAATAGTCTAAAGAGATCTGCTCCCTGGAAAGCCACTGACCTGGCCAAGTAAGTACGGACTTCCCTGTCCATGTGTAACATTGTCATCCTCTCATTGCCTCCTCCTCCTTTACCATAAATGAAGAATCCATGCATGTTTTTATGGGCTTTTATGTCCCTTCGTGGCAGGAATCTAAAATGTCTTGTCTGGGATAAGAAGCTAAGCAAGGTTGGGCTGGATTGTGAATTTGGAAGGGACATCTCCAGGGAATTCCAGGGATGTAGGCTTGATTGGAGAGTTGAAAAATACCTCAGAAGAAGACAAGAGACAAACCATTTCTGACCTGGTGACAACTGCATGGACACCCCCATGAAGTCACCAGGAGTCAAATTGGATGCAAAGGAGATGTTATCTTTTAAAAAGAACTTCAGGAGGCTGAGAACATACTGAAATATGTAACAAGCTCTTTTTTAAAATCCAGTTTAGAAACAAAGCCTAGAGAGAAATTAATAGAATATTCAGAGGAAGAATCACAACCTGTGGAAAAGAAACTGATTTTTTCCTTATCGTAATTCTTTTTTTTAAAAAAAAATCCTCATTTTTGCTCTTGGCATGCCCTCTCAAGACTCTGACTGAAGCAGATTAGACCTACTTCCATGAAAACTGGTCTATGGCTTTCATTGTGGGTGTTTAGAAAAAACAGGTTCTGCCACAGTAAGATTTTTTATTTATTTTTTTTTGCCACCAGAGGCCACATTTCTTTTTCACGTTATTATTTTTAGTTCAAAAAAATTGCCCGGCATATGGTAGTAACATCTCTGAAAAAGGCACAGCCAGATTTTTCTGCTCTGCTTTTTCACTTTTGAGAGGGAGATGTTTTTCAGAGGAAAATAGATGTGTTAAGTCTGTTAAACCATTAACCTAGCTATTTTGCTTGTCATATTGTTCTGCTGCACAAATAGGGTCTTTGCAATGAATAGCACTTCAATTGGATTTATTTTTTTTTTGCATGCATGCATTTTCCATGTCTGCAATTTGAAGGCAAATTCTATGTTGGCTAAGAGCATTTCCAACTTGAAAAATCACCCTTCTTGACATGGTTCATCTTGCATTAACAGTTATCCTATCTGTACACAGATCATAAGCAGTTCCAAAAGCAGCTATTGAATGTGTTGTGTGACAATATGTTTGCGTCAAATATTTTGTCTTGTGTCTGAATATCTGAAATATTCAGATATTTCTGAAAAAAACGGGCGATAGCTTTGTCAAGTTTCTGTAGTGTCTGTCGTCACCTTCCTGGTGAAATTATGTTGCATCTATTACTGGATCTTGATTAAATATTTGCATGTAAGTGGACGCTTGCCATTTGTGGTCTATTGTACATAGCACCCTGTCCTTTGTTTCTACCATCTCAGGTCTTGCAGTGATATGCAACTTGTCTCCCCACCTCAGATGTTGCTGAACTACACCTCCTAACATCCCTTAATATTATTCCTGATGGCCAGGACTACTGGGAGTGTCCTCAGCAATATCTGGAAGCCCACTTTTGATTCTACAGGAATAAACCAAATTATGTAACTCAAGAGAGTGAGTTGGCACAAGCAATAACCTGATCTTGTTTGTTTGCTCACCTCCTCTTCCAGTATGGGCGCTGTGACAAACGGCTGTTGAACAAGCGTGAGGACCTGGGGATTGATTATGCCAACATAGACTTCACCAAATTGTCCACCAAGGACAAGTACACCCTGACGGAGGAGTTGGCTGAATATGCTGAAATCCGAGTCAAGTGAGGCTTCTTCTCACCACGGCCTTTCTTCCCACTGGAACTATAGTAGTTGAATGAAACCCCAAGCCGTCACCATCATTGGGCTGGCCATCCATCATCTCTCAGGGGACTCCACACTATCCACTGTTTTTGATATTCTGATGTTCACACTCCAAAATACGGGGTGGATTTTCATTTCCTGGAGAGTACATACTGAAGATCACACTAACACGGATTAGGTTCCCCTTTTCTCTCTCACACACAAACCCCACAAGTAAACACTTGTCCTTTTGGCCAGCCAACAAGTTAGTTACAGAATGGTAAGAGGGCAGCTCTTTCTGCTTCTGCTGTGGTAAATTCCTAAATCTTGGGATACCTAGTCTAATTTGCTAGCAAACGATCAAAGTAGAACATAATTCCAGGTCATAATCATAAGGATCAAATTGACAAATCCAGAATAGCTGTGTTCTTAGGTATCCCTCCATCTGATGGGGTTCCATGAAAGAGGTTGGGTTTCTATGAGAAGTCAATGGATTGGTTTTCACCACAATACCCAGGAGCCTTGATCCTTCTTAGCAAGGCTGATGAACATAAGCAGTAGAGTTGGTTCTCTATCTGTCCAATATTCACTTCACATTCCAGATTCAAGCTGGAAAAAAATCAAATTCTAGCTCACACGACTCAATAACTCTACGCCTTTGTCTTTAACAAAATAAAAAAGAAAGCAGGGGATGGTTTAGGCGCATCATTTATTTCTACATGTATAAGACAGTGGACATTTACCACCCTTTTCTGACTCCAGCATCATAGATTTCAGGTTAAAAAGAAACAAAGTGATGAGATGACCGAAAACATCACCTAGTGAATTCTAGCATCTTCAGTGCACCAACTAGCTATGGTTGAAGAAATATAAAGCCTGCCCAGCTGCTGTCCTTTTGACATAGCAATGGTTGGGTGACTCTAGACGACGCTATGAATTACTAGCATGGAAATGACCTGTGATTCATTGTCAAGCCATTTTTACCAGATATAGGTAATGTAAAATTGGATCTAAGCATATCTGTTAAGTAGAGGACTAACTTCTGTTTCCTAGAATGTATGTTCTGTTTCATCAAGGGTTTCCTTCTGCACCCCATAATAGTCCCCAGTGATACCTTCCCATTGTTGTTAGCATGACTAATGAAAGTGCTGTGTGTTTTGCTGAGCAATTGGATATTGTATTCTGTAGCATCCACTCAGTTCTGTCTGCAGCTTTGCCTTTTGAGAAAAAGTGCCCTTTCCAGTAAGTAAATTTGTTGGGCAAAAGATCTTCTCTTTCCTCTGCTTGTTCAATCTCAGGAAAACAGAAGGCTGATCTCTGATGTTTTAAACCCAACAAGAATCCCATTGGTTTTGATGACACTGGAAGGTTATGGAAGAAATATCTTGGATCTTTCATTATTTGCTGAAGACCTATGATTATGTTGAAAACCTTGACTGTTCATCCTCATGGTCATATAGTAAAGCTTTCCAATCATAAAGCAATTTTACCTACACAAATTGTGGGCTTCGCTTCACTTGATGTGTTCAAGCTGGGGCAAGATAACCATTTTGGGAGGATTTAATTTAAAAACCTGCACTGAGTAAGAGGTTGAACTTGATGGTTTAAATGGCCTCTTCGTGATGTTATGACCACTGTTGATTGGATGTCCACTTGGGGTAAGGAGAAATGGAAAAGTGAAAAAGCTCTCTTGACACTTTCTCCAAAAACTACAATAAGAAAATAGGTTGATTTACAGCCACCCAAATGTTACGGGCACGAACATGTTAAGTTCTCCAAAGCTTTTAAGTCTGTGAACATTCAAAAGCTGCTCATTTTGGTGAGTCTTTATGATTTTTGGAGAAACAGAGACCATTATCAGCCAGAAGATGAAGTCAAAATATCTAGTAAGCATTATTCTTTTTAATTTCCCCATTCCTTTCTTTACATAGGTGGCTTAGCAACAATTGTCAGTGAAAAGGGGACAGAACAACTAGGATTTCAAGTATCTGAAGCTTTTCATCTTTTTAAAAATAATCTCTCAGGAAAAGTTTTTACTTCTTGGAAAGTCCCCAGGTCTATTGTTGCATTGAAGTAATGTTTACAGAATCAAATTCCACCTTTGGTTTGGTTTTTAAATCAAGGTTCCTCCCAAATCCCCATCTGTTCCAACACACACATATCCTGTGTTTTTGTACTGTACAGAAAAAGATACTGTATTTTGCTGATTAAGCAACGGTTGAATCATTGTTTTAAAAAGTTGTCAAAGTTGGTAATTCATGATACCCAGCTGGGAAGGAACCACCATCACTGACTTAATGAGATGGTGTTCCAATTCGTGTTTGTGAAGAAAAGCCAAAAAGCTGTAATTGTCAGCTGGCAAACTAATTCCAATCTCCTAACAAGAATAATACCTAACATTTCAGGCAAAAGCATGGTTCTATTTATTGAAAAAGCACATTTTTTTTAAAAAAAATCTTTCATTAGAAGTCGGGGTTTGTGGGGTAAAAAGTTGGAATCTAATAACATGACCTAAAGATCTGGCAGTTTTGTCAAGGATCAGTTCAGTTGACCTCAGTGAAAATTACACATTAGGTCAAGCATGAGGAAACCTGTAGCACTCCACATAGTTAAGACTATACCCATCAGCCCTAGTTGCGACAGCCGGTGGTCAGAAATGACGGAGAATCGATGTTCTATAATATTTTCGATAGTAATAAACTCCCCATCACTGTCCTTGTAGCTATACTTTGAATGCAGCTTGGGAGCAACAATTGAGAATAAGTCTCATTGAACAGAATGGTCCTTATTTCATACAGGATGGGATTTTATTGGTGAGGTCTTTACTAAGGGATCAGTTGTACTAGTGGTAGAAGTATATCTTGAAGACTAATAGAAGTAAAACACTCTAACAATCTTCCCATGAGTAAACAGAGCAGCCCCCCCAAAATACCTTAGGGTATGTGGTTGAAGCAACAACTGTTGAGCGGGCTGAGAAGCTTTTTCACTTCTGATCAAACAGGTTCCACAGAGTTTTGGACCTCTGCAAGCTGGTGAATTTGCTTCTCAAATTCAAGAGCAGGCTGAAGTATCTAAAAATGATCCCGTCTCGGTATTTTAAATCCTTTGTACCAGTCTAATTTTATCAAAGATTAAGGTTCCTTAAAGTAACAGTATTGGGGAAAAATACTTTCTCCCTCCGATTCCTGGGTTTAAACCCTGCATTCAGTCATGAAAATATGAAAATAGTCCTGTTGGATCAGGCTTAGGCCTCTCTAGCCAGCATTCAGTCTCACTCCATCATGTAGGAAACACATGGATAAGAGGTCAAGGTAGGCCTCCCACTGCTGCTCCTGGGCACCCAGTAGCATGTGGAGATAGATTGTCCCATGCCTGAAAGCAGCATCAAGGCCAAAGGCCATTGATCTAAGAATTAGTCTCACATCCTTTGGAAGCCTTACAAACTAGTGGCTAAGATCACATCTTCTGGCAGCATATTCCCAAGTTTTATAACATCTGTAGTTCTCTGATCAATGTTAGTTTGCTAGTAAGTGTCCTTTAGTAGCCTCTAGTTCTAGTGTTATAGATAAGGAGAAAAATCTCTCCTGTTCATCCTTTCTTCACCATGCATATAAACCACAATCATATTTCATAAGTATCTTTTCTCTAAGGCAGTGTTTCTCAACCTGGGCAATTCTAAGATGTGTGGACTTCAACTCCCAGAATTCCTCAGCCGGCATCCGGAATCCACACATGTTAAGAGTTGCTAAGGTTGAGGAAAAACTGCTCTAAATAGTTTCAACCATTTCATCCCATCCTCATCAGAAGTCTACATCTGATGGCCTTCTGCTTCTTAGGAGGCAGCCAAGCCTAGAGGACACCTGCATTTGTCCAACTTTTAGATCTTGTTTCTCCCAACTTCTGGAAATGTTGGATCAAATATGCTGAATTATAACAGCCATCATCCCCAACCACTAACAGTCTCTTCAAACAGGCTTGGAGATTGGGGAATTGTATTACATTGCTTCTGAAGAACAACAGGCTAGTAAGATGGTCATTTAGATTTTTTTTTAAAAAAATCTCTCTATCCGGGGCTTTCTTATCTTTGCCTTGCAAAAGGAAATTTTTCTGCACCAGGAAATGCTTTGGATTATAAGCTTTCAAAATATTTTGAAATTGAAATGAATCCTTTGGGTATCAGAAGGAGAAAGTTAATCTCTCATTAAAGCACTTCTGAAACAGGGTCTTTACACTGCTCCCAAATCAACTCAGATCTGATATTCTCATGCTGTTGCCTGCAGTCAGCAGCTGAGGTCTATCCCAGACATGCAATAAGTAAATAAATGAACAAAATAAATCGACCTTTCCTTTTGTGAGACCGAAGCCTTCCAGAACTTGCGGATGGTTTGCTTTCTTATTGGGAGAATGAGTGTCTCATTTCACCATCAGTTGATGTTTATAGTCTGAATGTTCATGGTCCTTAAAGAGGGATGGTGGCTTGCCAGTTATACAGATCCCTCTCATAGAAATCAGTCAGATTTTTTTTTCAAATGTCCAAAGTCAGCTGCTGATCTACTTTTAAAACACCGCCAGAATTGGTTGTAATTGTTGTGAATTTTTAAAGTCCTTAGTATCTCATCTCGGGAAATCCCTGTTGCTTTCCTTTTTACTGCAAGGGATAAGTAGATGTGCAAAATTCTAGGCTGTTCCCCACCCACTGACTCCTCCTAAATGGAGTATGGCTGTTTCCAATTTATTTTTCTTTTTTCTCATTTGTCAGATGCCTGCTAGTTTTTATTGCTCCATAAATTTTCCTTTCATCCTCTCTCACTCCTCAGCCTCTCCCCAGCAACTTCTATCTGTCCTGCAGCCTAGATTTTTTTTCCTCTTCTTTTTCAGCAGTATGCAATCATGACTATAGTTATTAGTGAGATGGATGGGAATGATTGATTGCAAAACTGTTTGTGTGCTATCCTTTCAGGATTATAAGTAGCAAGAGTCTTTAAAACTGATCTTTACTTTTTGCAAATGCTTTTTCCAAGGTGGATGGTGGTGGGAGGGAAGACATAAGGAGAGATATGGTTTTTATTGTTCCAAAATTGCAGTATCTTAAGATGGGGCACTTGTTGATTTTTTTCCCCTTTTCTTTCTTTCTTTCTTTCTTTCTTTCTTTCTTTCTTTCTTTCTTTCTTTCTTTCTTTCTTTCTTTCTTTCTTTCTTTTTCTTTCTTTCTCTTTCTTTATTTCTTTCCTTCCTTCCTCTTTCTTCATTTTTCTTTTCTTTCGTTCCTTCCTTCCTTTCTCTTCCCCTTCCTTCCTTCCTACTTTTGCCTTTTTTTCTTATTTTTTTGCCTGTAATCTGATTTTATGATGGGCAGATATTGCAAAGTTTGCAAGTTAATGTCAAACTATTTGTATGGATGTGGGAGAAAAAAATGTGGTATGGAATTGCCCTTATTTTCAAAATTGACATTTGTTTTTGAATGTCACGTTAAAATTCCTGATTCTGAAAACATATTACTTGTATATCTCGAATCCATTTCTTCTTTTTCTTCAAAGAGAAGCCATTGATACTAAGGCTGTGATTCAATATCCACTAAGCTCTCCAAGATTATTTTTGAGAAGACATGTAGAACAGTGTTTCTCAACCTTGGCAATTTTAAGATGGGTGAACTTCAACTCCCAGAATTCCCCAGCCAGTCATGAATCAGAAAAAGCTTATCAGCTTTCCAAATTCAGCTGAGTGGTATGGGGAAAGGATTGCATTTGAATGCACACTTAAATAAGAGGCAGCAAGGTAGGAAAGAAGATCTGGGCTGGACATGGCAGCTTTCAAAGAGTTTCTAACATCTCAAAATTGGGTCTGTGATTCCCGCCCACCCCCCACCCCCTGCCCACACTCTCTCCTGCACTTGTATCTGAATAGGTTCAACTTTAATATATATTCCAAATAAATTATTACATTATGTCCTTAGCTTTGGAACTTGCAAGCTTTATTGCATTTCAAATGTATGCATTTACAAAGATTTTTCAGCTTCAATGCATAAATGTTGTGGTTGTTTCATGTCATGTATGTTGTCCCTCCTTTTGTTGACAAAAACAGCAAGGGGAGGGGTGTCCGTAGCAGATTGTACTGTAATTTATTTCTGTGATAGGCACTTAATAGGGCTTCCTTAATTAGCAGGTCTGACTGTAAATAGACATCTGACAGAGCATTTTCAACCCACATACAATTTGCTTTTGAATTATTTATTTTAGCATCTTTTCTCATGTACCTTACATGGAAAGGAGCAAGTAAACATATTTCTAGGTGTGAATGTGTTTCAGGCAGAATTAAATCTCTGCAGTGGTGTCTGGATAAGCAGACAAAGAATCTGAAGATGAACTCACCTGTCCAATGTGCAGTATTAATTTAGGAAAATGCTGGGTTTTGTATGCCTGTAGTCCCACAATACAGCAAATGTTTAATTACTTTAATCCCTCTGACTTTGTATCCTGAAAGAAATAAAAGGTCTTTTACAAATCCATATACTAGCCCATCTCCTTGAATAGCATCTTCAGATACAATAATCAAATCATCTCTCTCCAACTAGAGACAACCAGTGGCAAAGCTGGTTTCAGAGCAGTAATTGTTTCCTCTCCTAAACAAACCCTTTATTATTTTCTTTCCCTGCATCTTAGTATTATTGAGGTTATTTTAGAACTGATTTGTGCCCAAATCCCCTCCAACACACTTCGCTTTTCAATCCTAATGATAATAAATATTTTCTTCATTTAAAAAAAAAAACAGTTCTTATGTGGATGAATATATGTTTCACCAGAAAGAGAATTGCTTTTCAAACCAATGGATAGAAAGCTAAGGTTTGTTCATCATACTGCCATGGTTTGTTTTTTTTTACCATAAACATATGTCTTACAGAATAAGAAAGACATTGGGCTTTTCATATTTTTTAAGACTCTGGTGTCTCTTTACTTTTTTTCTAATTGACTGTAAATCACCCTTCTTGTGCTGGTTTTGGCCATAATAAAAATTTTATTTGATTTGGCAGATGGTTTGTTTGAAACTTGGCCTTGGGAAAAGGGCATTCTGTTTTTTGGAATCTTCATTTAAAATAAGAGGGATGATTCTAGAAAACAAAAAACATACTTTGCATTCCAAAGGCTGTGGGCATCACTCTCTACCCTGAAAAGAACCAAAGACACAGAATTTAACAAAGATTTCTTTCATCGGGGAGAAGGATATGTGGCATTTTGTAAGATTTGCATTCATTCATAGGTGTTTGGTTGAGTATAACTGGAGTCTTAAGTACCCTAATAAATGAAAAAAAACTCCACTGTTCCCACATGAAATCTAATAGCAGCAAAGGCAAACAGTACAGAAAAATCTATCTCCGTTTTTCCACTGAATGGTCGTTTGGGTTTTTGCAATCCAGATATGAAAGCCCTCACCCCACTTCAAGGAGACAGCCACCTTAAGATATTTTCTGAGCCTGAACTCACCTATTTCTGTAATTGTTGAGTTACCATAGCAAGGAGGACATGGTTACATTTCACAAGCTGTTCAGTTTCAAGAACATTTTTGAACAATTGCTGCCCCAGATACCTGCAGTCCTGTTTCTATCAGCATAGAGCAGGGGTAGGAAACCTTGGCTCTTTTATGACTCGTGGACTTCAACTCCCAGAGGAGTTGGCTGGCTCGGGAATTCTGGGAGTTGAAGTCCACGAGTCTTAAAAGAGCCAAGGTTGCCTATCCCTGGCATAGAGGAACACAGAGATGACCACTTGGGCTCCATCTAGGAAAATGAGATAGCGGGGAGGGGGGGGGGAATTAAAGCTGATGTTTGGTATAAGAAGGAAGAAAGGACAAACTTTGTCAGGCTTTAAAGATTCTGTTTTTATAGCCCAGTAGGCAACCCATGACCCATGGTCATCTTTTCAGAGATATTTTTCTACACACCATGCCTTCCTCACACTTTTGCACACCCAATTTTTCACCTCCCCCCCCCTCTGGACCATATAATCTCTTCTGCAAGCTTCTTAATGGTTGGCTCATTTCTTCCACAAGGTCATCTCCATCAATTGGGAACAATTCAGGTTCTGCTTTGTCCCACTGAATGAGAAAGGCTACCATTCTGGACTGGCTCTAGAAGAAAGACTTGGTGACAAAGATTTGTAATGGGCATATTTATTATACAGCTGAAATGCTATTTCTGTTCCTGACTAGAGATAATAACTAGAGCAGTGGTTCTCAACCTGTGGGTCGGGACCCCATTTGGGGTCGATCGACCATTTCATGGGGGTCGCCAAGCAAGGTTGTCCGCCATTTTTCCCCCCTTTTCCGGCAGGTGCCTTACCTCCCTTGGGCTGGACCAGCTGGTGGTCGGCCTGCTCCATCTCTGCCGCTTGCCAGCTACGCCTCGGCCAGCGCAGGGGGCGGAACCACGCATGCGCGGCGCTCCCAGGCAGGGAAAGTCCTCGACTTACGACCGGTTGGGTAGTCCTTGACTTACGACCGGTTTAGTCCTCGACTTACGACCGGTTGGGGTTGCGGCATTAAAAAGGTTGAGAACCACTGAACTAGAGAATGAGAGAAGATTACAATACAGGCCAGCATCCCTTGATTTAAAGAAATTGGTTTGGTTTTTTTTAAAAAAAAAATAATTTAATTCGTTTAGCAGCGCTCAAGTTACATAAGAAACACTAACAACCTACCTGGCCCATTGCAGTTGGGCAACTAATGTTAACAAACCAATATATAAATAAATCCAAACAAACAGATAATAACCTATTTCTAATAGGCAATAAATCTGTCTAAATTTACCATAAATAAATATACCGCATGTTGAATGACGTATCACGGTTAGCAACCTAAGAGGAGCGTTCGTATAGCATGCTAAAAGACACGCAAGTAATGCTACACTTAATGGGTGTGCCTGGTTTGCACACTTCAGGGACATCACGGCTTAGCGTTATTATTTTTTAAACCATGGTTTCTTTTTACTTCACAAAGCCGCCCTTAAACACGCCCCTACACTTTGCTCCGTTTACTGCAACCAGAAACAACCCAATTGCAAGAGTCCGACGTCTCCGCCCTCCTGTACTTTACAAGAGATTTCCCTCAGATGCTCTTGGACCACAACTCCCATCGCCCCCCGCGGAAATAGCCAGGGCTCGTGGTAGCTGTAGTCCATCCCCTCTTGGGTCTTCAGCCTAGCTGCGGGCAGGGATAGGCAACCTTGGCTCTTTTATGACTCGTGGACTTCAACTCCCAGAATTCCTGAGTCAGCATGGCTCAGCATGGAAACCTCTCCCTTTCCCCTCAGCGTGGCTGGCTCAGGAATTCTGGGAGTTGAAGTCCACGAGTCATAAAAGAGCCGAGGTTGCCTATCCCTGGCCTAGCGGGTAGCCACAAACTACACTTCCCATACGGCATCGCGAAGGGCGGCGCTCGCCCAGTAGAAAATTTCTCAGAAAAACCGCGCGCGGGCGAACCACATTTCCCAGCGTGCTCTGCGGGGGGGGCGGAGTCTGTCTCGAACGGCGCCGGAGTTTGAGACGGACGTGGGCGATGGCGACCGGTAAAAGTGTCGCGGGGCGGGGGGCGGCGTGGACAGGGGCATCGCTGGCCGAGGACCTCAGGCGCTGGGCGGCGGAAGAGATGAAGCTTCCTCCGGGCAAAGTTCCCTCCCAGAAGGCCGCACGCAGGTGGGTGAACAGGGGTGAAAAGGGGCGAGAGTATTTCTGAGCATCTGCAAAGTGCTCTCCCAGGTGAGCACTGCAGATTGGACTGGAGGGGGTGGATCGCTCCTCTCCTACCCTGGGTCCCCTTGCATCTTAATAATAAATTTAATTGGCCCTCAACCGCAGATGAAGAATGAATTGGTTATGTATAGGCAGCATATAGAATAGAATAGAATAGAATAGAATAGAATAGAATAGAATAATAGACGACGACTAGAGAATAGAATAGAATAGAATAGAATAGATTATAGAATAGAATAGAATAGAATAGATCAGGGGTAGTCAACCTTGGCTCTTTTATGACTCGTGGACTTCAATTCCCAGAATTCCTGAGCCAGCTTAGCTGGCTCAGGAATTCTGGGAGTTGAAGTCCACGAGTCATAAAAGAGCCAAGGTTGACTACCCCTGGAATAGATTATAGAATAGAATATCTTTATTGTCATTGTGTATCTCACAGCGAAATTAAGTGCTGTCCACAGTGCACACTGCAGACAAGTAAAATCTGCAAGTAAAAACATACATTATATACATTTTCATATTCTATTCACCAGTGTGCTGCCCCTAATATTGCACTTCAATGTTACACTATACAGTAGTATTTAATATGGCTACAGCTCTGGAATCAAAACTATTTTTCACTCTATTTATCTTTGTTTTCATTATCCTGTACCTTGTGCCAGATGGTAATAGTTCAAAAAAAAGGAATGTTTTAGGATAGGATTGTAGGTTCTAATAATTTGGACTTCCTATCTGGAAATATTTTGACAAATATGTGAAATTGTATGATATAATTACCAACATCATGGATTTTTACTTCTTCCTCTCTCTCATTCTTCACCCTCAGAATGTGCTCAGGTCAGTGTGCTGACATCTGGAAGTACATCATCCGCCACGTTCATCATCAGAGGTAGGAATACCAAGATGGAGATCAGATAGTCAGAATTTTCCTTGGGGCTTCTTCTACCTTTGTTTGGTCTGTGTCCTTTAAAGGGTTTAGAATTCTAGATTTGAAGTCCAGAACTGTGCAAAGGATTTGGATTACAGATCAAGGAGTAGAGGAATTTCTTCCAGCAGTACATGGCTATAGATTTTTGTTTGGCATCTTATCTGGCATTCATTGCCAACAGTCTCGAAAGAAAATGGGCAGCTTTTAAAAAGAGGTTCTATTCTCTGAGTTAAGAAAATAGAAATTCTGTATTTGTACAATACTCAATACCCAAATGAAATGGCTTAAATAACGGCCTGGTTCATGTAACATTGTAAGATTGTGACTGGGTTTCCTTTAAGTAGATGAACCACAAATTGAGTATTAGCATAGCCTAGCTGGCGATGTAAACCCAGCCACAGTGTTTTTTTCCCCCTTTGTTTTACAAGTATATAGATAGCACTCCAGCACAACATTCTTTGCAATATTTTAAAGCCGGGCTTACTTCTGTTATTTTGACCCACATTATTCTGCACCTTAAGCACATTTTTCAGAGTGAATCCTGTGCCCTGTTAAACACTTTTATCTTGCTTATATTGCAGGACTGTAAAGAAGATCCGTGGGAACATACTGTGGTATCCTTTTCTTAACATTTTTTTCTGGATAGAGTCCAGTTTTCTTCTTTCTTTCCCATAATGGGCTTGAGAGATTAAACCCTGAAACCCTCAACTATCGTGAATACTTTTCACCCAATACTTCCTATAGGTTGGAGCAAAACAATGAAAACTGTTGCAATAATAATATGGTCTTAAAAACACCTCGGTTGTTTAAATCTGCTGCTAATGGTGGAAAGAGAAAGAGATTTAAAAGGCTACCTCTAATCACACAGTTTTGCTGAAACACTGACTAACCCAGTGCTTCTCAGTCTTGCCAACTTGAAGACGTTGGCAACATTTGAACTCCCAGAATTCCTCAGCCAGCTGTGCAAAAGTCCACACGTTTTCAGGTTGCCAAGCTTGGGAATCACCCAAGGGCTCCCCCTTCATAAGATGCAAGTCCTCCCTTGCTTGCTAAAATAACACCTAATAAAGCTGTTTCTTGTCCTGTGGTCGAACGGGGATTGTGATCTTGGAATCTCTTGAACTGCTGGGGGGAGCCTAGGATTTTGTTTCGTATACATTCTAGGGCAAAGGGGCAAAATTGGTGCAGAGTAAGCGATTGAAATATGAGAGCGTTGTTCAATATTCTGCACAGTTTAATACTTGCAGATGCAACAATGCATTAGGTTTATTCAGAAAAAACATTGGCAATCAAAAGTTGCAAAGGGTGTAGGGAATGGCTTTGGAAAAACAGGAAGGCACTAATCAGAGAAGAGCTTGAGCCAGGCCAAGAAAATAACTTGAAAAAACATTCAGAGAACCCTTCCCTATTTCACATAAAGATAAAGTGAGGGATGGGGGTTGGACATTCAGACTTACCAGATTCTTTTACTAGATCCGCCCCAGTAAGGATAGTCCTAACCAATATGGCATTGGTCTGCGTTTATTGAGCTGACAAGTGTGCACCAAGGGGAATGTTGCCATGTTTCAAAGATGTCAACCATAATACAGAGTCTGTCTGCCACATAGTTTTCTCCCCTCTGACCAGCTGCTCCCTTTCAAAAGGAAGATGTGCTGGTTTTTACAACCTTACACAAGGCCTTGCCCAAAGGAATTCCAAACCAGTTAAAGATTTGCATCCTTGATCCTATTTTTTGTTATCTAGGTATCAGCAGATGGAAAAAAGTGAGGTGAGTGAGAACAACATGAAGCAAAACATCTACTTTGCCTCCAAAGGTTTGGGCCTGTAGGTGGGGGAGTGTGGCTCGCCTAATGTTAAGACTACTATGTCTTCCATCAACCTTGACCTGGTGCCCATTGGGATCCAACAATAGCAGGAAGATCATGGGCATGGCTTCCACCACTTGGAAAGTTCCATGCTTGAAACTGTTGGCAGTTAATGTAAAGAGGTGTGAATGACCTGGGCGGTCTTCTACGACAAGTTCTGCAAGGACTTTTCTGGGCCTCCAAAGAGAACTACGGCCATCATAGCAAGGATGAGCTTCCAGCTGTGGACCTTTTAAAGAAGGAGCGGGAGGGATCATTCTGTGACTCTGCTCAAGTAGGAAGCAAGGACTAAAAGATGGAGAGGTGGCCTTCTTCGTAATGTTACAGATTGATCTTTCTTCCCAGGGCAAGCCCAGTGACTCTGAATCAGATAAAGAACGCCGCAAGCATCTAACTCAGGCCATTTCTCGCTTGAAGGAAGAAATACAGCAGATGGACCTTCAGATAGAATTGGGGCAGCGTGAGCTTGTAACCAGTGGTGAGTTGAAAGCAAACAAAACATTTTCATTCCGCTGTGAACTCCTCAGAGGACTGTTGGGCTGTGTTTATAAGCCACCTTGGCTGAATCACAGCATCCAAATACATTAAAACAGAACAAGTGAGCCTCTGTTGTAGGTTCAGCTGTTCACATGTTACATACCCTGATTTGCAACTATTGTTCTCCTTGGCATCTAGAGGTCACCCTGGAAACGACTCAGGAAAAGATCCGGGATGCCAAGCAACGCAGTTTGCTCCTAAAGGCCTACTCCACACGGGTCACAGCAGAACGCCAACAATTGAACAAGAAAGCTGCACAAGTCAAGGGGCGTTTGGAGCAGTTGGAAGAAAAGTATGGGCTCTGTTTCTAGGTCCCTTTATCTCCTTGGCAAGAGGGGATCTGGTAGCCTCCTGGTTGGTGGAGCTTTAGTGTGATGGAGGAAGAAAGGGCGATTATTAAACTATGGCTTGATTAACCATGGATTAGTGAGTAGACACAATATGCTGGATTCAAGCGATATGCTAAGGCAGCCTTCCCTAGGTCAGTGGTGGCGAACCTATGGCACGCATGCCAGAGGCGGCACTCAGAGCCCTCTCTGCTGGCACGCGCACCGCCACCGCCAGCAGCAGGTCCATCAGGCCGACACCACCGCCATCCGGAGCAGGAGCCCCGCCCAGCACAAAGGAGGCGAAGCGGCCGACTAGCAAGCTCGAGTAGAGGTGGTAGAGCAGAGGTCACCAACCATTGTCGATTGGTGGACTGGAAGAAAAGGGAGGGGAAAGCATTTTACATGCGTGCATGCGCGCACGGGGCAGCGAGCACGCACGTGCTGCAAATGGGGCGGGGCTAGTGCCTGCGTGATACTAGTCCTGCCCCATTCTTGCAAGGTGCAGCACCTTGTATCTGCACCCTGTGGTGTGGCGGCGGCCGTTTTTGCGCCTTGCAGCATGGTGGCCCATTTTTGCACCCCCGGTTTTTGCGTGCCAGAGGCGGCACTCAGAGGCGCCTCCCTGCCCCCCCCCGAGGGCACCACAATGCTGATGGGCCCCTGGCACTTTGCGATAGTTAAGTGGGTTTGGGGTTGCGGTTTGGGCACTCGGTCTGTAAAAGGTTCGCCATCCCTGCCCTAGGTGGTCATTTCCAGAAGTGTGGAATCCTAGCATGATTAAGGAATTATGGGCGTAGAAGTCCATGTTTCTGGAATTTGCTAAACCAGTGCCCAACCAGCTACTTTATGAATTAGCACAATGTGTGTGAACCAAGCCGATCTCTTTTCAGCCAGCTGGCCTGGAGAAGAACATGGGTGCCCTTCAAGTGTGGAAAGCAGATGTCCAGCTAAAATCTCTCTTGTGGTTTTCTTTCAGGAAAGCCAAGATGGCCGTGTGTTTTGGTGGCAAACACCCAGAGTCTCGGTTCCCCATCTCGGAGTCTGAAGTCCTGGTAAGGCCTGATTACTCCTTTACAGAAAAAAGAGAGAGAGAGAGAGAGGCTTTAAGTTGTATAGTTTGGGGAAGAAGTTCATTGATCGTTCAAAATTACCACAGCACTGCATTAATGGTACTTGTGTCCAGTTAGGGCCATTGAAGCACCCCTGCACCAGTATTTATAACTACAGGGTATGCTTCAACTGCCCCCCCTCCCCAATCTCTGCCTTTTTTGGACACCCTGCACTGCACTCTCTCTGCTGCTTGCACCTGATCTTTGCTATCTTCCTCTGCGGGCTGCGCTCAGCCTGGCCCTTCACAAGGCCTCGCATAGGTTCAGGAGGAAGGCCTGGCACAGCCAGCAGGTGCCTCGCAGAGGGCCAGGCCAGGCACACCTCACAGCAGCAGGAGGAAGAAGATGGCAGAGGTCAGCTGGGGGCAGCTAAATGCAGGGTGGCCAAAACGGCAGAGATAGGCAGATGGGCAGAGTGGAGGTAAGCGAAGCAGGGCGGGAGAACCATGACGTCCTGGCCCCACAGCCAAAACTACCAGAACTGCTGTCACTAAGCAGCATAATCACATGATGTTTTGCCTAACAACTGTGTCATTTAGTGACAGAAATTCCATTCTCAATTAAGGTCATTGAGCAAGGACTACCTATACTTGGTTTTTAAGAGGCACTTCAGAGATTGCATTCCAGGAAGAGAGAAAAAAGCTAATATTTTAATTAACTTGGATTGATTAAAATGTGTTTGTTAAGATGATACACCCCACTGTTCATAATATCATCTCTCTCCTGTCATATTTTAGCGTTCTATGTACTTGTAATAATATACTTTAATGGAAGAGAATCTCTGTAGCTCAAGAGGTGAACTGTGAAGTCCTTGGTGCTCTCTGAGCTGGGTTGTTTGCCTGCAGATGTTTCATTACATCATGAGGCATTGATGATATTATCTAACGTGGTAATGAAATGTCTGCAAGCCTCGTATCACATTCTGATTCAATACTGATTTTAGCCAATTTTTTTTGTCTTGTGTTTACTTTTCTTAGTTATCCTATCGTTGTCAATATAGTTTTGGATGTTTTGAATATTTGAATACCAGTTCTCTTGCACTGGTTAGCAACCGCAATAAAGTAAAGTATAAAAGAAGGGAAAAGTGAAAGATACGGATTGTATAAAAGGTTCAGCCCAGGTTTTATGCCTTTTTTCCCCTAGCGGGATGTCCAGGAAGGCTGCCAGCTGCGTTTCCAATTCCTGAAGACCCTTTTTGAAGACAGCATCTCTGGGCGCACTCCGTAAGGGTCCTTCCTCTTTCTGCAATTTGCCCCTTTTGCTTGGGAAACAAGACAGGTCTAATGTTGTGTGAAAAATACCCACACACTAACTTTCTCTTTAAAGTTCTGATGTGTTTCTTTGGTTCTTCCTGGCAGAGGGGCGAACGAGAAAGAGATGAATACTACTTACCAATATTGGCTGAGCATCGTGGAGGTAAGGCAGAATAGCCTACTGGAGCAAGGGTGGGGAAGCTGATGCTTTACAGACATTGTTCCCATTGTTCCCTCTGGTTGGGGCTGCTGGGAGCTGTAGTTCAACCAGATAAAGAGAACCTAAAGCAGTGCAGTACAGCGTTGGTAAACAATTTTTTGGGGCCTTGGAGATGCTCTTTGCGCCTTCCTTAAGAACAGTAGAATGCTTAGCCTGACAATATCAAGGCTGCTTGATACAGCGGGAACATTTAGATCTGTGCTTCTCAGAGTTGGCAACTTGAAAATGGGTGGACTTCAACTCCCAGAATTCAGGCTGGCGGAGGAATTCTGGGAGTTGGAAACATTCCGAGTAACAAATACAAGATTAAAAAGCAACACAAGAAGAATACGTAATGATAAGCCACAATGGTATAATAATAGCCATAAATCTCTGCAGGGAGCAAGGTGATTATTTTATCCTCCAGACCAAAGAATCCAAATTTTTAGCCCAGTCCACTCTGGGGTTTGCAGATGAGGCAGGGGTTGAATTTGATCTGTTGGTAACCCATACTTGTAAGGTTTGCTATACAAGACATCCCCAACCCCCAGGCTGCAGCCCACTACCGGGCTGTGGCCTGTTCAGAACCAGGTCATGTGAGTAGTGGGCCAGCAAATGCAGGTGTGCCAAGCCGCCACTTGTATGGGCCAGTTCCCTTCCCCCCACCCCGGGCTGCCAAGCCGCAAAGTTTGGGGACTGCTGTGCTATACCATTCAGGTCTAGCTGTTCCCTTGATGTGTCAGTATGAAAGGATGATTATGCTCACATGCTCTTATCCTGCCAAGGATTTTTTATGTGCTGGTTACTCATCCTGGCTGCTAAAAACTTCTTCTCCACCTTACCCTCTGCTTAGTTAAGTTTTTCTTTTCCCATTCATTTTAGGAGGCTGGTGGGTTTTTGTTTTTTTTCCTCCCCACGTTTTAGCCATTCGTTCACTATACAGTACTTCTATAAGTCTTTGTACTCTAATGCTTTGCAACGTACCAGGTTTCTAGATGTTTAATGTATAAAGCTCCCCCCTGGACATTGGATCATAGCAGCGTCTTACTTCGCATTCCGTTTGTTTTATTCCAATGGAAATGGCGTCAAATGGCTTCTCCCTGCTGAGTCAGGGATGAAGCGATTGCCAGTCGAATTGGACAATTGTCACTCTGGATTGGCTTCTGTATCCCATTCTTGTATCTCCAAAATATCTTGGAAATTGGGAGAGAGGGGCATTGGGGTTTGGGAAAAGACTGGATGATGCTGTGACCCAGTCTGGAAGAATTTCAATATAAGAATCGTTCAAGCTTCTAAAGAACAGCGCTGAACTCGACAGATAGGGCATATTACTAGCTGTAGCAATAGAGGCTTGGCATACAGGTTGGATCAAGGACAATCTCAGGTATTGTTTTGCATCTTCCTACAGAAAGTGATCGGTACCCATCCTGCTGCCCATGTCCTTTCAGCTCTGGAGCACTTGGCCCTTCAGAACACAATGAAGCTGCAGGAGTTGACGGACAAGATCAACATCCCCCAAGATGTGGCTGCCCTCAAGTAGGTCCTATCTTTTGGCTAAGAAGGACTTGATGATGGTCCTTCCCAGGTAAAATTGAAGGCACCTCCAGAGCTAGCAACAACATTCAGCATCCTCACGAAATTGCCAGGATCGTAGCCCTTCTGAGTGCATAATTAACACTTTCTACTTTCTGCTAGTTAAATACATGCCGGTTGACTTAGGACCAGTCAGATTTCCCAGAATGCATTGGAACTCTCCCAAAGCTCTAGGGAATTGTGGGAAGCATCTATATGTCACCAAACCAGCCTCCGCTCCTAAAAAGCATTGCTGCTAGGTAAACCTTGCCCAAAAGAAAGTATATGGCAAAGCAGTGTTTTTTTTAAAAAATTGCTTTTCGGACCCCTCCCATTTAAATAAATTGTGGAAGACCCCCTCCCCCCAAAGAGCTTTCGCTTGTATAGGTTACATTTATTGATATTTACCATATTAAAAATGAAAACTGGCACATTTGTAGAATATATATTTCCAGATATAGAAAAGTAGAAATAACAGTATTAAACCCGCTAGATAAAAAATACATTTTTAATGAAAAAACCCTATATTTTTAAAACAAATGAATATAATAAGAAGAGTGATACTGTTTTAAATTTCTGCAAATAATTTCAATATCCGGCAAATAATTTTGATTTCACAGGCCCCTGAGAGGGTCTTGGGGGAACCCCCCGGGGTTCCCCAGGCCACGCTTGGAGAAATACTGTGATAGAGGATAAGGCAGTGGTGGCGAACCTATGGCACGGGTGCCAGAGGCGGTACTCAGAGCCCTGTCTGTGGGCACGCGCACCGTCGCCCCAGTCCTAGGCCTTCAGCTGGGTTTTATAAAACCTTTTCGCTTTAGGCCTCTGCCGCCGTGTACAAAAAAAAATGATTCAATCAGTCAATTTCAACTTCTCACGGGGAAAAAAAAGATCTCGCAAAGTTGGAATTGATTGATTGAACTTTTTAGTCCCACTCATTCTGCCATTACCACCGCAGCCACGCCCACCCAATGGGCCACACCCACCCAATGGGCCACACCCACCCGGCACCCGATGATGCATAAGTGGGTTTTGGGTTGCAGTTTGGGCACTCGGTCTCTAAAAGGTTCGCCATCACTGGGATAAGGATTGAGATCGGGAAGACTTGGATTTGAGTCCTAACCTTACTAGATATATGGGCCAGGCACATACATCTCTAGTTACCTCTTGTGAGTGGGTGGAAGCCCAGAGTTGCTGCAACAGTGAGATGGGTGGCCCATGTATGTCATAAATAAATAAAAAATTGGTTCTGGATTTTCCAGCAGCACGTAAAACCTGTAAGCCCCGTTCTGTCCTCTTCCTAGGTTCCATTATGACAGCACACACCTGCAAGATGTCTCGGATTCAGTGGACGAGCTGCCTTCCGTCCGGGTTCTTATTCAGGTGAAATAAATTGGATCCCAGAAGAGACTTTCCCAACTTCCATTTCGCAATTAGAACCATCTGTTTCACGATCAGAGCAGCTCCCGAGAACTTAACAAACGGCCTGTTTCTGGATGGAACATTCTGACTGGGGGTGGCGGTGGTGGTGGTTGATAGATAGAATTCGCCTGGTGGATTTCCTGTGCACTGTATAAGAAAAAATACCTTTTTTCTTGGGCTCTTTTCTTTGCCTGGGACAGGAGGGCTGGAGCAAATGCGAGATGCTCTGCATGCAGCAGATTCCCCTACACGCTGTGGAGAAAGACCTGCTGGCACGCCTTGAAGCCCTCGTGAAGGAGATGCACAGTCTCCTGTCTGATGGATCGGAGCGCTCCATCCTGGCCAGGTAAAGAGTCTTTCCAGATGTGCTTCAGACGGGATGATGACTGGGTAAGGGTAGTTTTGGGGTGGCTGTCCAGGCCCACAGGGAACCCTCAACCTATTCGTTTAGCAACCCTTTGAAGTTACAACAGCAGTCCTCACACTTACGACCATTGCAACATCCCCATGTTCACAAGTTGGGCTCTTGGGAACTGGCATGTATTTACCACTGTTGCAGCATCCTAGGCTCAACCGATTGCCCTTTGTGGCCATCCCAGTCTGCTTCCAACAAGTAAAATCAACGGGGGAAGGCAGATTGGCTTAATTAAGGCCCTCAATTCGAAATTGGATTTGCTTGATCGTTAAGTGTGATTCACTTAACGATTGCAGTGGTTTGCTTAACAACCAGGGCGAAAAAAGATCATAAAAATCGGGCGACCTTGCTTAGCAACGGAAAATCCAGTCCCAAATGTGGCCGTAAGTCAAGGATCACCTGTACTTAATTCCCAAATGTTTACTGAAACAACCAGATCTGTAAGTTAGGCCAGCGGTCCCCAACCTTTCCAGCTTGCCGGCCTGGCTGGGCGTGGGGGAGGAAGGCATTGGAGTGGCAGGCATGCACGTGTGCGCACAGCTCCATTAGTGCGAGGGCAGTGTGCATGCATCCACTCGCATGAATGGAGCTTTGCGCACGAGCGAAGGGTGCTTATGATCACACGTAGAGGTCCACTCGTGTGAGCGGCAGGCGCTTGAGCTAAGATAGGGGTAGGCCACCTTGGCTCTTATATGACTCGTGGACCAACTCCCAGAATTCCTGAGCCAGCATGGCTCAGCATGGAAACCTCTCCCTTTCCCCTCAGCACGGCTGGCTCAGGAATTCTGGGAGTTGAAGTCCACGAGTCATAAAAGAGCCAAGGTTGCTGACCCCTGAGCTAGGATGTCAAGCTCCACTCGCACGAGCAGAGGGCACTTGTGAATAGAGCTTCACGCGTGAGTGGAAGTACCCTCCACTCATACAAGCGGAGTTTTGCACATGCACATTTGCCCATTTCTCCCCCGGCCCAGTTTCAAACAGGCTGCGGCCCAGTGGTTTCGAACCGGTAGTTTCAAAACTCCGCAACCTCGGGGACCCCCGAGTTAGGCTGACTCAGTCCCTCCCTCTCGCAATCCAGAGCGGCCTTTGAGATGGAGCTCCGTGCGGTGAGGCTGCGAGGATACAGGGATGGGCTGCTGCTGGGCTGTCAGGAACTGGAAGAAGCGGTGAAGGCCCGGTACGCAGAACTGCAGAGCTTGCAGGCGAAACGCCAGCGCATTTTGGACTTCCGCCATTTGGTGGTAGGTATGCAGAAGGAGGAGAAAGGATTGGGAGGAAAGAGGGCAGGCTTTTAGTTCAGGAAACTGGTAGGCACAGCCCAAGGTCAGCAGCAGTTGTTTTATTTCGTGGTTTTCTATCCTTTTGTCCCGGGCAAACGTTTATTTTTTTTTTTATTTTTTTTTTTTAAGGAAAAAAAATGACATTTTTAACCCTGAAAACAATTTTTTTTTCAAACATTTTAAGTAGGTGGACTCTTGTAAAAATTAACACCTTGCAAGTTTTGGCTTTGTTTTGAAAACAATTTTAACTTTTAAGAATGCTTGTGTAATTGAAAATACTTTGGAAAAGATAAAAAGTCCTTCAAGTCCAACTCCTGGTATTGAGGGAAGGGAGAATGTGATAGTTTGTTGAGGGACTTTCATCCTGTGGGTCTACTTCTCTGCTTCCCTCCCACAGAATGAGAAACAGCAACATGTTCGGGCCCTTATCAAAGGCACTTCATATATCAAATCCCAGCTTCGCAAGGACCAGGCTGAGGTGAGATTGCCATTCAGCCCATCTGCCAGAGGCCTTTGCTCATCGCCTGTTTGACTCCTTTAAGATTCGAGATGTTAAGATTTCAAACCTTCAGCATACAGATTACACCAGGGTTTCCTAGCCTGGGCAACTTTAAGTCCTAGCCTGGACTTCAACTCCCAGAATTCACAGCTGGCTGGAGAATTCTGGGAGTTGAAGTCCACGCATCTTAAAGTTGCCAAGGTCGGGAAACCCTGGATTCTGTTCTGAAGCCACCGCGCTTTTTAGAATCCGTGGGATTACTGACAAGCTGCTTCCCTGAAAATTATTTCTGCGCTTATTCGGAACCCAGTTGACTTACAGCTGTGCTTCTCCTTCAGATCCAGGATTTCATACAGAAAAAACTGCTCCCTCAGGCCCAACGGGTGCAGCTGGAGACCCAGCAGCTTCACGACAGGATAGGCCGTGAGGTCCAGCATTTCAAAACCATTGCCTTGCCTTGTCTGCCGACTCGCCAGATAGCTGGGTGAGTCATCTCCTGGCGTCTCCATGTGGCTGGGTGTAACTCTGCTGGGCGGGCACGGGGTGGGGGGAAATGTTTTGAGTCCTTTTCCAGAGACTTTCCTTTTTTTCCAAAGCTCGAAAGAACCCTATGTTACTACCCTTTTTTTTTTTCCTTTGAGAAATAAATCAGCTGGGAGAAATGACTTGGATGGCTTGCCATTTGGTGAGGGAGGCTGAAAAGCAGGTGGTCTGCCAGTGAAAGCAGTAAAATAATCCCGTTTCTCTTCTCCTGAGGGTCATTTCCTACAAATGGGGTTTACCGAACGTAATTTTTACCTTTCTTGGCACTTGTCTTTCCTTGATGTAAAATTCAGGAGTACTTTTGGCCCCGGATTTTTTGTATATAAAGAAAATAGACTTGATTTTCTTTTTTAAGCGTGGAGGATTGGCATGCCTTAATGATGGTCGATGGAATGTAGGTCCAATTGCAGGGGGGGAAAAAACCCCCCCCTCTTTCTGCCATTGTCTTCCAGGTCTCAACACATCCCAGCCCACAAACTTTCTATCCATTGCTTAAGCCGGACAGCACCGTCCGAAAATCGGGCCTTCCTTAACGTATGCAATGGAATTAGCTTTCCCCTTTATAAGGTATGATATGCCTCTCTGGTCTGATTTGCTGAATTCATCTAGGATGAGTCAAGTGAAACTCTTTTGGATTGTTTTAGAGACTGTTCACCCTCCCTTCCATTTTCCAGCTTAATCATAATCGTTAAGGAATGGAGACAAACTTTGAGGACGGGGGGAATAAAGCGGAAGCAAAAACCACGCTTGTTCTATGGAGTGCAAAGGGCGAACGTATCAAACGAAAATCTGATTGATGTACATTTCACTCACCGCTACTAATAAAATGGTGTCTTGCAGTCATTTTCCCATTTAGGCATCCTGAAAACGACTAAGCTGATTTTAGAGGAGCCCCAGGGCCATATCTACAGCTTTGGAGAGCCACTTGCAGCCATGTAGTGGTTCTTGGCAAAAAAAAGGGGGGGATTGGGGAGGGGGAAACACCCATCGGGGAAGTTGGATTTGCCGCCCTGAGTCCTACGGGAGAAGGGCGGGGTATAAATTTAATAAAATGAAATGAAATGAACTGCCACACAAAGTATAAAAGAGGTCCAACTCAACTTACAGTGGAAACTCCAGTCCCAATTGTGTGCATCAGGAGTCCCTGGGCTGGGGCCCACCACTGGGCCTTGAGCTGTTTGGGAACCGGGTTGCGGATGTGGCAGGCAAGTGTGCACATGCACATCCCCACTTATGTGAGCAGTGTGTGAGTGCGTGCACACACGCTCCACTTGTGTGAGCACCATGCGTGTGTGCTTGCCGCTCACGCAAATGGAGCTACATGCCTGTGCCCACTGCTCGCGCAGACCCATCCCCTCTCCCGACCCCCATCCTCCCGCCAGTCCGCAAAGCGGGAAAGGTTGGGGAACTGGTATGCATAAGTCAAAGACTACCTGTATAATGCTGACTCAGTATTCAGCTTGCTCTGAACTGCAGTTACAGCAGCATCTTTTCTGTAATGCTGTCGCCGTACTAGAAGCCTACGATGTTGCATTGATTTCTTTTTTTTCTCTAAGTGGAGAATGTTGCATCTGCCTTTCATGAGTTGCGTTCCACTTGAGGCTGGTCTGGAATCCCATTTCACGTTCCTGTGATCCATGCAATCTCATATATGAGCCGTGGTGGCGCAGTGGTTAGATTGCAGTACTGCAGGCTACTTCTGCTGACTGCCGGCTGCCAGCAGTTCAGCGTTTCGATCCTGACCGGCTCAAGGTTGACTCAGCCTTCCATCCTTCCGAGGTCGATAAAATGAGGACCCGGATTGTTGGGGGCAAGAGGCTGACTCTGTAAATCGCTTAGAGAGGGCTGGGAAGCAGTATGAAGCGGTATATAAGTAAGTGCTATTGCTATATGGTATCTGTGAGTGGTCTTTCTCACTCTGGGGCCTCTGCTTTCTTAATCTCCCTTTAGGCTCCTGAACAGCTCCTTCTCCATATGGTGGAGCTGAAGAAGATGCTTGCTTACGTGCGTGCCCAACTGGGCTCCAAACAAAGAGCTTTGGGAAGTCTGCAGCACCAGCTGGATAGTGCCCCAGAGCCTGATGTACCATGTATGGAAACTTCTCCCTTTTTTTTTTTTTTTTTTTTGCTGTTCCTGCTGCTTCTTCTCTCTGACCTTGTGCTTTAGTTAAAGTTTTCAAAAGCAGAGGTCATATCCTGCTTCAGACTTCCAATCCCCTCTTCCTGTCCCAGTTTGTAAGCAAAAGGAGACAGTACCCCAGGGGTATTTATTTATTTATTATTTAAATTTATATACCGCCCTATCTCCCTTACGGGACTCAGGGCGGTGAACAGGCAATAATAAAAATCACAATAAATATTGAATAAAAAGCCTGCTCTAAAATACCCCATATAAAACCCCTAGCAAAGCCCAATCAAAACTACGCCAGGCCGGCCGTATGGAATAGATGGGTTTTCAAGGCTCGGCGGAAGAGGCGCAGGTCCGTAGTTGTACGTAGGTCGGGGGGGTAGGTCATTCCAGAGGGCAGGAGCTGCCACAGAGAAGGCTCTCCCCCTGGGGGTCGCCAGCCGGCATTGACTGGCCGACAGCACCCTAAGGAGGCCCTCTCTGTGGGAGCGGACTGGTCGAAGGGAGATATTTGGTAGGAGGCGGTCTTGCAAATACCTAGGTCCATTGCCATGGAGCGCTTTAAAAGTTGTTACTAACACCTTGAAGCGCACCTGGAAGGCCACCGGCAGCCAGTACAGCTCGCGCAGGAGAGGTGTTACATGGGAGTATCTATTCTAGAGGCCCCCAAAATCCCCCGCGCGGCCGCATTCTGAACTAGCTGGAGCCTCCAGGTGCACCTCAAGGGGAGCCCCATGTAGAGAGCGTTGTAATAGTCCAGGCGGGAAACAACGAGGGCTTGAGTGACCGTGCGTAGGGTGTCCCGATCCAGAAAGGGGCGCAACTGGCGTATCAGGCGAGCCTGATGAAAAGCCCCCCTGGCCATGGCCGTCACATGATCGTCTAAAGACAGCCGAGCATCCAGGAGGACGCCCAGGTTGCGGGCCCTCTCCGCGGGAGCTAATGACTCGCCCCCGATAGCCAGAGATGGAGCCAACTGGCTATGTCGTGACGCCGGAAACCACAGCCACTCGGTCTTGGACGGGTTGAGTCGAAGCCTGTTCCTCCCCATCCAGACTCGCACGGCCTCCAGGCACCGGGACATCACTTCCGCGGCATCATTGGGGTGGTCCGGGGTAGAGATGTATAGCTGGGTGTCATCTGCGTACTGATGAAACTCTACCCCGAAACCACGGATGATCTCACCCAGTGGCTTCATATAAATGTTGAACAGGAGAGCGAGAGGACCGACCCCTGTGGTACCCAAGTGAGGCGCCTCGAGGTCGACCTCTGCCCCCCTGCCAACACAAAAGGGTAGGTAACCTTGACTCTTTTATGACTCGTGGACTTCAACTTCCAGAATGGCTGGCTCAGGAATTCTGGGAGTTGAAGTCCACGAGTCATAAAAGAGCCAAGGTTGCCTACCCCTGCACTACCCCATCCTTATCCCACAAATCTAAAAGCCACACTGAAGGGTGAACATTTGTAAATATTTCTCCACACCTTTTACACTTGCCACATCCCCACTTGGGGTGGTTTTTCATGACATGGCAAGTCACAATGTGCCCTGCCACGAACGGGGGGGGGGGGGGGGGGGGGCAATGAACCTTTTAGCTCCAGCTCTGATTTCAGGGATGGAACTTTCTTGATTGCACCTCTGATTCTATGGCACCCCAAATGAAATGCATTGCTTTGGATCATGTGAAAAGGGCCTTTAAGGCTGGCGGGGTCCTTGATGTTCTCTGAGCTGGGTGGTTTTCTTGCAAAGGTTTCGTGCATGCTAGCAGTGATAATGTTACCAGGTTTGGTAATGAAACGCCTGCAAGAAAAGTACCAAGCTCAGAGAGCACCAAGGACCCCACAGTTCAACCCTGCGCTACAAATATTCACTTCCATTGGTACCTTTTCGGCTTTTTTAATGTCATTTATCATTGACATTGAAGTCAAGTTGAGATGAATTTTATGCTGCTGGCTTAATGGAATGTGTTTATTTCCTATTCCTTTTGTTCCGTGGTACTCATTTATTTATCTTCCAAGCCACGCCGACTCTATTCTTCCTTCTAAGCTTAGGGTAAAAATAAATGGAGAGCCAGTCTAGGTATTGTGGTTGAGGCATCAGGCTAAAACCCAGAAAACTTGTGTGTTCTAGTCCCACCTTAGGCCCAAAGCCAGCTGGGTGACTTTGGACCAGTCACCCTCTCTCAGCCCTATGAAGAAGGCAATGGCATACCACTTCGAAAAATCTCGCCAAGAAAATTACAGGGACTAGATCAGGGGTAGGCTACCTTGGCTCTTTTATGACTGGTGGACTTCAACTCCCAGAATTCCTGAGCCAGCGTGGCTCAGCACGAAAACCTCTCTCTTTCCCCTCAGCATGGCTGGCTCAGGAATTCTGGGAGTTGAAGTCCACCAGTCATAAAAGAGCCAAGGTTGCCTACCCCTGGTCTAGGTTTATGCTAACCACACAGCCCAGCTCCCTCTAGGATAGGGGTAGGCAACCTTGGCCCTTTTATGACTGGTGGACTTCAACTCCCAGAATTCCTGAGCCAGCATGGCTCAGCTTGGAAACCTCTCTCTTTCCCCTCAGCATGGCTGGCTCAGGAATTCTGGGAGTTGAAGTCCACCAGTCATAAAAGAGCCAAGGTTGCCTACCCCTGGACTAGATCCAGGAAGTCTCCAAGAACTGGACACGCTTGAATGGGAGGAAAAAGGATGGCTAAGCTGTTTTTCTTCTCCGTCCCCAGCCTTGGTGAGAGAAGTGCAGTCCCATGACCAGAAACAAGCCTTTGAGTTGCTGCCTCGCATACAATGCCTGATGGAACAGTGCCGGTGTCGCGTCGAGCGTTGGCCTGAGATCCAAGCTACTCTGGATGCCTGGTGAGTGAAGGAACCCTAGCAGGCATTAGAGCAGCGGTTCTCAACCTATGGGTCGCGACCCCATTTGGGGTCGATCGACCATTTCACGGGGGTCGCCAAGCAAGGCTGTCTGCCATTTTTTTCCCCTTTTCCGGCGGGTGCCTTACCTCCCTTGGCCTGGGCCAGCTGGTGGTCGGCTGCTCCGTCTCTGCCGCTTGCCAGCTACGCCTCGGCCAGCGCAGGGGGCGGAACCACGCATGCGCGGTGCTCCCGGGCAGGGAAAGTCCTTGACTTACGACCGGTTGGGTAGTCCTCGACTTACAACCGGTTCAGTCTCGACGTACGACTGGTTTAGTCCTCGACTTACGACCGGTTTAGTCCTCGACTTACGACCGGTTGGGGGTCGTGGCATTAAAAAGGTTGAGAACCACTGCATTAGAGGGCCTGGTCAAAGGGAGGAGTGTATGTGTGTGTGTGTGTGTGTGTGTGTGCCACATTTATACATCTTTTCTGTTCCCTCTCTTGTCTAGGTGGGAACAGCCGGGACAGTTTGTTCTACCGCAGGAGCGCCGCCACGGTTTCACCTTGCAACAGTGGCTGGAGCGTTGGACCTTGGCTGCCAAGAACCTGCAGCAGCAGCAGATGTGGCTTTGAAAAACAGCCCAAAGCCCTGCTGAAGACAGAGCAGCTACGCCTGTGCTTCCATCCGGCTGCTAAAAGACAGCTCTTAATTTCATTAAAGGGAGTAAGCCGTTTTCAGCACTTCCCCTCCCCTTTCTCTCTCTCCCCCCTCCCCCTTTTCTTCAAGGAAGGTTGGGGGAGGAAATAACGTTGAAGGTACATCTCAACAAGTAGCACCTCTGTGTTTTCTAATGATTTGAAATAAATGTTAAGCGTATCCTCGTTTCTCTGGCTTTACCTTTTTTTCTAACCTTTTTTCCTTCCACAACAGCTAAGAGAAACATAATGCTTAACATTCTTCTCTGTTGTTAGACCTGGCTTTTTTCATTCCCTTCTTGGTGAAGAAAGAGGGAAACTTTGAACTGGTTTGTTAGCCACAAAAGAGCTGCTTTCCCTAAATTTCCTAAATGTATTGTCCTTCATCCAAAGGAGCGTTCCGTAAAGTGGAAGGCCCGTTCTGTTACTGAGCTCCAAGAACATTTCGACCATCGCCAGAGTCTCGACGTGTTTTGAAGTAGCAAGGAGACAAGCTCATCGTTTCACACCTGCAGGAATATAAGCAGATGCCACAGCCTTGTGTAGAACTGCGCTCTATGCTTTAATAATATATAATAAAGTTGGAAGGGACCTTGGAGGTCATCTAGTCCAACCCCCTGCTCAGGCAGGAAACCCTATACCAGTGATGGCGAACCTTTTAGAGACCGAGTGCCCAAACTGCAACCCAAAACCCACTTATGCATCGTCGGGTGCCGGGTGGGTGTGGCCCATTGGCTGGGTGTGGTCAATTGGGTGGGCGTGGCTGCAGTGGTAATGGCAGACTGGGTGGGACTAAAATGATCAATCAATCAATTCCAACTTTGCAAGATCTTTTTTTTCCCTGCAAGAAGTTGAAATTGACTGATTGAACCTTTTTTTTTTTTTGCACACAACGGCGGAGGCCTAAAGCAAAAAGATTTTATAAAACCCAGCTGAAGGCCTAGGACTGGGGCGATGGTGCGCGTGCCCACAGAGAGGGCTCTGAGTGCCGCCTCTGGCACCCGTGCCATAGGTTCGCCACCACTGCCCTATACGAACTTTATCAAATGCCTTACTGAAGTCCAAGAAAATTATATCCACAGCATTCCTCTGGTCCACCAATTTTGTCACTGGGACAAAAAATGCAGTAAGATGTATCTAGCATGATATGTTTTTAACAAACCCATGTTGGCTTTTAGTAATGACTTTGTTTGCCTCTAGGTGTTCGCTGATTCTTGTTTGATTATCTTTTCCAGAATCTTCCCAGGTATTGAGGTCAGGCTGATAGGTCTGTAATTTCCTGGGTCCTTTTTTTCCCCTTTTTTGAAGAGGGGAACTATATCAGCTCTTTTCCAGTCCTCTGGTAGTTCCCTAGTGCTCCAGGATCTTTGAAAAATATAGTTCAGTGGTTCTGAGATCAGATCTGCCAGTTCCTTGAGAACCTTGGGTTGTAATCCATCTGGTGCATTCAGGCTGCTTCTATAACGATGCTGGGACAGGATGCTCCCAGCGTTCTTCACCCTTGGATATGCTGAAAGGAAGTGCAGTTTTGCCATCTCTCTGGGGGGATGACTAATTTCCGACAGGTAGACCTTGATTAACAACAACCGGTCACTTAGTGACTGTTTAAAGTTATGCTGAACACACACACACACACATACCCACCCCCAAAAAAGGTACTGACATCTGGTTCTGGAGTCCCAACAGCAGCACACTCACCCTGTGATCACTTGGCAACCGGCTTGCTTTTACGGCTAGTTGTAGCATCCCCCAGTCACGTGATGTGATTGAGAGTGTGTACCCATAGAATGCATCAACTGCTTAACAACCGATCACAAAAAAAAAAAGGTCTTAAATCGGGTCAGCCATATGGGTGCCTCGAGTTACCACCATCATAACTTAACGACAGAAATTCCAGGCTCTCTCATGGCTGTAAGTCAGGGGTAGTCAACCCAAGGTTGACTATCCCTGCTGTAAGTCAAGGGACACCTGTACACGTGAGATTGTAAAGCTGGCTCAGACTGCGACTGCAGCTCTTTTAAGAAGCCAGGGAGAAGGGACTGCATACAACACAAAATTGCGGCTCCTTCTAAATCAATAAAAGCTTAACGATTCAACCCTTTGCTCAATCCATTAATTGAATGAGTGGCCCAAAAGCAAACCTTTTTGAATTTGGTTGGACATGGCGGTACTATGTAAAAACATGTTGTTTTTTTTAGTTTATTTCAGGTTTCATATGCCAACTTTCAGAATGAACGTAATTGACAATCGGTATAACAAAAACAAAGTCTACATTTTCCAAAGGTTTCCTGACTCAGATGGATATAATTTTGCCCTCTGAACAGCGGCGACTGTTTAAAGAGCCAGCTCATCGTCTTCCTTATTGAAGGCACAGATTGACGCAGATACTTAAGGCCTGCTTAAAAGCAATTGGGAAGGGGGTCATTCCCCCCCCTCCCCAGAAGGAGTTGAAGCCACCATGGAGAACCTCTTTTCTGTTACGAGAGGCAGAGCCCTGTTTTAAATGGTTTAATAATGGCTAAAGGAGAAGGAGGGGATGGGTGTGTGTGTGTGAGGGAGAGCAGATAGCCTCAGGAATGGCAGTCCTCCTTCTCCAAAACGTCTATGAAAATCGAGATTTTTAATGCTGATCAAAACTTGCTAGTTCTCACTCCTTCAATCAAGAGAAGTAACAGCCATGCCATTATTTGCCAAACTTCTGCTAATATTCTATACTTTTAGCCAGTGTGATTGGCTGCTTCCCTGCCTGTCTTCTCTAAAGCTAGGATCAAGACCTGAATTCTATTTTTTTTTAGGGGGGGGATTATTTTTACCTATCCATCCCACAAAAGCAAGACTTCCCCCCCCAACTCCCCCCCCCCACTATTTTTTGCCCTGGCCCAATCCAGAGAGGGTCTGCCCCTACCCCCCACCTCTGCAGCCCACAGCCAGCCATTTCTCACACCCTTGTTTTAGACGTAGCTTAAAGGAAGCAGAGTCTTCTCCAAGGAAGCCGGTCCTGCTAGCTCTTCTGAGCCCTTCTGAGGTTTTGGGTGCGTAAGGAATGAAGAAAAGGTTCTCTTAAAGACGGTTGCATGCTAAATCTGCAACTTCTTATCCAATTCAGCCAGGAGACCCTGGATGTCGCAAACAAAGCGGTAGACGTAGCGCTGGCCGCTAGTCTTGTGGATGATGTTCTTGTGGTAATAATAGCGCAGCCCCCGACTCAGTTTCTCGTACGTCATGCGGGGCTTGTTCTTGCGTTTGCCCCAGCGCCTGGCCACCTAGCAGGAAATGAGAGGGAGAGGGGGGGGCAGAGGGGAAATGAGCAGGCAGTCCACTGACACTGATAACCAGAAACCTATTTTATCCCAAGTCATTGCTCAAGCGTTGCTAGTTGTGGCTTGTGGCCAGACAATACACACATGCTGCATTGCCTTGGCCTGTTGTGGCTAGCACAGCATCTCAGGCTAAAGCAGAGAGCATTATGGCAATTAGGGGAGAGGGAGGGGAAGAGCCACAGTGGACGAGGCCCTGATATTTCTTTCTCTGGAGGTTTGCAGGTACCGGAGTCCATTATTATTATTATTATTATTATTATTATTATTAATTGAATTTATATACCGCCCTATCTCCCTTACGGGACTCAGGGCGGTGAACAGGCGATAATAAAAACCACAATAAATATACACAAATTTCTGTTCTAAAATCAAATTAAATAACAGGCCTGCTCTAAAAATACCCCATACAAAACCCCCACTAAAACATAATCAAACTACGCCAGGCCGGCCGCACGGAATAGATGGGCCTTCAGGGCTCGGCGAAAAAGGCGTAGGTCCGCAACTGTACGTAGGTCGGGGGGTAGGTCATTCCAGAGGGCAGGAGCTGCCACAGAGAAGGCTCTCCCCCTGGGGGTCGCCAGCCGGCATTGTCTGGCCGACGGCACCCTAAGGAGGCCCTCTCTGTGGGAGCGGACTGGCCGAAGGGAGGTGTTTGGTAGGAGGCGGTCTTGCAAATACCTAGGTCCATTAAACTCACTGTACTGTTTGCTTCATGATGGCGAGAAACCTCTGATCTTTGATTGGGGGGATTGGGATGCTGAGGAACCAAGTTAAGCCCTGGGTTGATTGTATGCCCTAATGCTAGGCCATGATTTGTTGAATAAGCCACAATTAGTTTCAGGCAACCCATTAAGCCAAGCCAACCATGCCCACATCTAAAACCTGCTGCAGTGCATACATTGGCTCAGCTTCCTTTTCCCTGTTGCACATTCATAGGGACTAAGCACTTGATTTAACAAACACGAAACCATGTCATCCTGAGGACAACGTTCCCATCCAAATCCCGGTTGATGTATTCCTGAGAGATTCTGTGCCCCAAGTGAAGGGCACCCTGGGTTGTGTAAATGAGGGGAGGGTCGAGGGGGACTCACCTCGTGTGGGTCACAGAGCTTGAATTCCCAGCCGTTCCCTGTCCAGCGGATGAGGGCTTGGCAGGAGCCATCTTGGAGCAGCTCCAGCAGAAAGCGCCATAACTGGATGGGCCCGGCCCCTGCCAGAAAAAATAGGAGGTGAACAGGGGCGATTGGGAAACGGTGCTGTGGACTCACGCGAGCAAAGCAGCTCAGAGCTATTATTTGCAACCAGAAAAATATTACAGCCTTCAGGCATGCCACTTAAAAATACAGAAAAGAAAAGAAAAAGAAAAAGAAAAAGAGAAGGGAGGGAGAGAGAGAGAGAGAGAGAGAGAGAGAGAGAGAGAGAGAGAGAGAGAGAGAGAGAAAGAAAAAGAAAGAGAAAGAGAAAGAGAAAGAGAAAGAGAAAGAGAGAGAAAGAGAAAGAGAAAGAGAAAGAGAAAGAGAAAGAGAAAAAGAAAGAAAGAAAAGAAAGAAGGAAAGAAAGAAAAAAGAAAGAGAGAAAGAGAGAGAAAGGAAGAAAGAAAGAAAGAAAGAAAGAAAGAAAGAAAGAAAGAAAGAAAGAAAGAAAGAAAAGAAAAACAATCTGAAGAACCTTGAAAAAAGATGGTCTGCTTAAATGACTTGTGTTTCTCTGCAAACAATTGAAAAAACTATATAGGTCAGGGGTCTTCAAACTTGGCCCTTTTATGACTTGTGGACTTCAAGTCCCAGAATTCCTCAGCCAGCATGCCTGGCTGAGGAATTCTGGGAGTTGAAGTCCACAAGTCATAAAAAGGCCAAGTTTGAAGACCCCTGATATAGGTGGTCCTTGACTTACACCTATTTCTTCAGTGACCATTCAAAGCTTCCATGGCATTGATAAAAGTGACTTATGACCAGTCCTCATGACCACTGTAGCATCCCTCGTGGTCATGTGATCAAACTTTGGCTGCTTGGCCACTGGCACATGTTTATGATAGTTACAGCATCCCAGGGTTCGTATGATCACCATTTGTGGTGATTGTGATCTTTCCAGCTGGCCTCTGACAAGCCAAGTCAATGGGGAAGCTAGATCTGCTTAACAAATGCAGGATTCACTTAACAATTGCAGTGACGTGCTTAATAAACATGGCAATAAAGGTCATAAAATGAGGCGCTCCTCACTTAACAACTGCCTTGCTTAGAAATGGAAAATCTGGTCATAAGCCGAGACTACTACAATGCCACAAAGGATTCTTTTGCAATCTACTCCCCACCCCACTCCAAATTACGCAATGGGTAGCACTTCCAAGCTCTATCAACCACTTTCAATGTTGTTGTTTTCTTTCTTCATCACTGCATTCAAAAGCAGGCTACCATTTTACAGGTACTGTATCCAAAAGCCAGAGGAACAGAATGGCAGATCCTCAAATATAGGTTCTTTCCTAGTTTTAGAATCACCAGTAAGAAGCCACACCATACCTGCCAGTTGATGGGGCAAAAAAAAAAAAGGATTATCTGCATTTGATCTTAATGATTGGGCAAGGAATTTAAAAAGTCGTGTAACTCCAGACCCTTTAAGACTTGAAGTTTAGTGTCAGCACATTATTAAGTTTCTGATATCCTCCAACCTCAACCTTACCTGCCCGATCTCTAGGTAAAGTATTGGTGTTCCTGCTATCAGCCTGGTCTCTGCGTTCCCTTTTTTTCTGGCTCCTGACTGGTGAATCACATTGACACGAGTCGCTGTCCAAGGCACTGGATTGGCTGCCTGAATCGGGACCAAGGGACTCAATCCAATGTTCTAGAGATAACGGCAATGGATGGACAGAATCAGGGAAGTTAGCATGAAGTTAGCATGAAAGCTAGTGATCAAAACCTTAACAGAAGGACAAGAACCACATACACACTGATTGCATTCACACAGTCCCTTTAACCAGTTGGTGCAAATGCATTTAAGCTTGCTTTAAAGAAGCACATGGTTGGTTGATTGGTTTATGGTTAAGATTATTGTAGAATTCATAGAACTCCATCTGATTGGCCCAAAGTCACCCAGCCAACTTTCATGCATAAGGCAGGACTAGAACTCACCGTCTCCTGGTTCCTAGTCTGGTTCCTTAACCTCTAGAGCAGGGGTAGGCAACCTTGGCTCTTTTATGACTCATGGACTTCAATTCCCAGAATTCCTGAGCCAGCCATTCCTGCTGGCTCAGGAATTCTGGGAGTTGAAGTCCACAAGTCATAAAAGAGCCAAGGTTGCCTACCCCTGCTCTAGACCAAATTATAGTATTCTAATTAGAAATCAGAAATCTTTGCTAGAAACTGCATTGACCTAATTTTTGCATTAAAACACATTAATAAGCATGAGGTCAGAGTACATTGATGGAGCTCAGCCACTACTGCCTTAGCATCTTGAGTGAATTCAGCCACCACATTAGGCCATCATATGGTTCAGAGGTTGAGACAGAGAATATTATGAACAACACCAACTGCGCTCCCTTAATCTGGTTTAAAATTAAACACATTGAGTGAGCACAGTATTGAGGACAGCAGGATGTCTTGCTCAAAATTAGCGTTATGCTAATTTTGTTTTCACCATTCACATTCCACATGGTGAAAAAGGAATTGCGTTTGCTTTGGGTTTTCAAAGGATAGGTTTTGATGGGGAGATTCAGGATTCTGGCATCTGCTTTAGGGATGACTTGGCCAAGGGATGTTGCTGGTTGAGGAATTCTGGGAGTTGAAGTCTATCCATCGTAAAATTGCTGAGGTTGAGACACACTGCACTAAGATTCTGCAATGAGCAAATAACAGGGCCTTCGTATGCTGCCATTAAATCCCAGAAATTTCTCATGGAACCTTTTTTTAGGTTAAGATGTGAAAGAGTGACATACAGGCACGCTCACAAAATCATGTTTTTTTTAAAAAAAAACAAACAAATAGCCCCCTTAGCTACCTAGCAATGATAACTCAAGCTGAGAAACACCACCAAAGAAAATTCTAAAGCATGTTGAAAATGAATTTTAAAAAATCACGAACTATCATGGAGGATAGTTTGGAGGACAGGAATTATACAAAGTCATGCAAAAGAGAGATTTTACCTTCCTTCGGCTGTTCTTGCTGATCCCCCGGAGGAAGCTGTGCAGAAGACACCTGTTCTCCAGGAGAATCAGGATACAGAACAAACCAAGGCTGAGGAACTGGTGGGGGGCAGCTGGAGCCCTCAAAGCTGTGGAGGACACTGTCTTGTTGGAGCACCATTCTAGAAGCTGCGGGAGATTCAAAGCACAGGTGTCATCAGAATCATGGGAGAATGATAGTCCTACCCCTTTTCTCCCCTGGTGTCTACCTATAATCATAGGTGCCTATTGGAGGCAAGAATTTCAGATTATAAAAATCCTCAGGTAGCAGTCTCTGAAGAGAACAGCTTCTGGATCCTAAGAGTCAAAAGACCCTGAAGGAATTCAAGGTCTTTTCACCTCTCTCCTAAACAGATGTTGGGGTACAGGTGATGTTGGGGTACAGGTGTGCCAGCCCAACAAGATGGACCAGATTAAGAAACCAATGCCGTATAGACCATGATTACTTTGGAACAGCTCTAGTAACAGAATTTTGCAAGTCTGAATGTTGTTCCTCCTCCATTCTTTAATTTAGAGAGAGGCTGATCTGAGAAATTTTTCTCATATTATTTTCTTGATATTTTCAGGCTCAAACTGCAGTTCTCTGACATTGGCTTGGTAGCAACTCTTCCACCATCTGTAGGTTATTCTTACAGACCATGTCACCTTCAAGGCCATTCCCTGTGTCCTTTACACAGGGAGAAAACACAGGACATATTTATTAAGCGCTTAACTAGGATTTTTCTGAGTCACAGTTGCCTGGATTCACGCGCTGCACTCAGCCATAAGCCGGGATTTATGAACCGTGATAGAATGTGCGTATCACTTCAGGCTGTATTGTGGTTTGATCAGTTGGGCTTAGGGTGCCAGCCACCATTTGACTCACCCTTCCAAATGCAAGGGGAAATTTAAGCAGAAGGAAAAGTCTTGTGATGCTAAGATCTGTACAGATCTGAGGACCGGTCTATCTATTGAGGCTTTGGGTTGTCCACCTCTAGACATTTTGAAGGAAAAAAATGGACAATCAACTCTCAAGGATGGTTTAACTGGTTCTCCTACACATCGCAGAAAGTTGGACTACTAGATGATCTTGTAGCCTATTCCAACTGTACAACTTTCCGATGCTCTGATCAATGAGTCCTGGTGATTTCTAACATGTGCCTTGTCTGGGAAACTTCAAAAGAATTCTCATCCACGTATAATGAAGATTGCCTTTTATGCTATACCTATAATACTCCTGTTGTAGTAGTACGGTAGTAATTATTCCTCCAATCCTCATCCACATTTCAGATATATAGCACTTAGCAATAGCACTTAGACTTATATACCGCTTCACAGTGCTTTACAGCAGGGGTCCCCAACCCTGGCAACTTGAAGGCCTGTGGACTTCAACTCCCAGAATTCCCCAGCCAGCCATGCTGGCTGGGGAATTCTGGGAGTTGAAGTCCACAGGTCTTCAAGTTGCCAAGGTTGGCGACCCCTGCTTTACAGATCTTTCTAAGTGGCTTACAGAGACAACATTTTGCTGCCAACAATCTGGGTCCTCATTTTACCGACCTTGGAAGGATGGAAGGCTGAGTCAACTTTGCGCCGGTCAGAATCGAACTGAGTTAGCCTGCAGTACTGCATTCAAACCACTGCACCCACCACAGCAACGTGGCAACTCCCATAATTCCCAGAGAGCTGTGCTGGCAGGGAACCATGGGAGCCATAGCCTAGCCCTTCTAAAGGGGAACACTTTTGGGGAAGGCTGATAACTGGCAGCCTTACAACATTTCAGCAAAGTTTTTTAAACCTTCACTTCCTCTTGTTCCTTTAACTCCGAATTGTCTCAGTTGAAACAGAGAGTTGGTTTTTATTGTGCTGTTATGTTGCTTCCTGGTCTGTCTTGCTGCAAGGCTAATTAACTAATTTCAAATAGAAGTGGATAGGATGTTTTTTTTAAAAAAGGGGATAATAAGGGGAGAGCAGCTTTGCTTAATCATCCCAACACACGTATGCACTTAGCCATCTAGCCAAGTCATTGCGTTCATGTACTAAGAAATACCCATAAGGACTTGTGACATAGCTCATTTCACTTCCCTTTAAATAGGTACATGCAAGGTATTCTTTCTTAACTGTACCATTTTCAAAATGATTCATTGAAAGGTATACTGATGAGCTTAAAGAATTTTTTCGCCTTCACTGAATGTGCAGCAATGGCTAAGCTACAGTATAGAGTTATAATAGGACCAACTTTAAGCAGGAATGATTCCCCTGTATAAGTCAATTTAGATATCTGCAATATGGCTTCCAAGAAAAATAAGTAAAGAAGGTAACTAAAGAAAAAAACCCACAGATGAAATTATTTAAACAGATACGAGCAAACATGCCCAATGTTTATGATTAAATATTAAAAGTATAGCATAAATATTTATGTGTTCCAAAGGTTTTGTTCAAAAAAAACAACTGGACTTAATATTTAGGTGATGAAGGAGAGATTGTGCCATCAAATTCTTTACTGCAACATTTTACTTTGATCTATTTCTTTATTTTGCCTTTTTATTTTTCACTCTTCGGTACCCTTTAAGCTTCTGCAGTATAATAAACAAAAAGTTAAAAACTTTTTTGTTTTGATTTGATTCTTTTTTTGTTTTCAAAGAAAACATATGCACACAAATGCAAAATAGAAAACAGATCAAGAACATAAAAAAGCACAAAAGGGGGGGGTCTAAAATCTCAAGAAGGTTATAATTTTAAGCTGCAATATTAATAAATGGTTGAATATTTTAGCCTACAGGGCTAAAAAGCACAGTTAAGCTTGAAGCAAAGGATAAATATCAAGAATCACGGCCAACACAGTATAAATTGCCACATGAAATTAGAAGCTACAAAAAATGAGTCAAAACTGAGCATTATTTTGCTTTAAATTTTCCAAACATTGAAGTTTGAATCAACTTTCAGTAAAGTTTGAGTCATTATGTGTGAGTTCAGCAGCCACGTTAAATATGTTTAATAAATAAATGAATCTGTTAATCCTCATTTCCCGTCAAATTAGGATTTGATAGTTATGAGAGTTTAAGCCCCACAATTCTTCTTCATCACGATGTAAAGAAGATATTGAGAGTCTAGAGAGAGTGCAGAGAAGAGCAACGAAGATGATTAGGGGACTGGAGGCTAAAACATATAAGGAACGGTTGCTGGAATTGGGTATGTCTAGTTTAATGAAGAGAAGGACAAGGGGGGACATGATAGCAGTGTTCCAATATCTCAGGGGCTGCCCCAAAGAAGAGGGAGTCAAGCTATTCTCCAAAGCACCTGAAGGCAGGACAAGAAGCAACGGATGGAAACTAATCTAGGAGAGAAGCAACCTGGGACTAAGGAGAAATTTCCTGACAGTTAGAACAATTAACCAGTGGAACAACCTGCCACCAGAAGTGGTGAATGCTCCAACACTGGAAGTTTTTAAGAAGAGACTGGACAGCCATTTGTCTGAAATGGTATAAGGTTTCCTCCTGGAGCAGGGGGTTGGACTAGATGATCTCCAAGGTCTCTTCCAACTTTATTATTATTACTATTATTATTATTATTATTATTATTATTATTATTATTATTACTGCTACTATTCATTAGATTTGAACCTCAGTCAACTGAACATTCAAATTGACTGGCGCTGATGGTTGACACGGGTTGCTGCCAGCATCCTAGCTATCAACCAGATACCTCCTTAAAATGTAAGATGTTCCAAGTAGTGCAGTTTTTTGTAACATTGCTGGAGTTATTGCAGGAAGCTGCAGTTTCTTGAAATATTTTACAAAGTTTTGGGACGTAGTTCCCAGTGCCCCGATGACAATGTGTATCACTGTTACACTGTTACTACTACTACTACTACTACTACTACTACTACTACTACTACTACTACTACTACTACTACTATTATTATTATTATTATTATTATTATTATTATTATTATTATTATTATTATTATTATTATTTCCCACTAAGTATTTCCTTAGCGCGCAAGCTTTCTTTCCTCTCTCCTTCCAAGTATCAGCCAAAACTCACCACCATGGTACGGTTCTCTGTAGTCTGGATCAGAAGAAACTTGCTTCAATTCCACGATGGTCTTGGTGTACTCAGGAAAGCCTCAAAAAGAAAGGAGATAATTCCATTAATGTTTATTCTTGCAGTGACGGTGTATGGTGCTAGGGATGGTGCATTAACTGCTGTTTCTAACTCTACTGCTAAAGTGATACCTAGGGTTGTTAATACATGATTTCTTGAAAATTGATGGATAAGCAGCTTGAGAAAAAAACAAGGACTTTATTGCTATATATGATCAAAGCAGTGAGACCTTTGCAAGCACAGAGATAAAAGGAGGTGCAGATTCTCACAATGGAAGAATGGATGGTGAGATTAATGGAGCTGGGTGAAATGGCAAAACTAAAAACTTTGATTAAAGAGAAGAAAACTTTGGAGACCACTTTTGAACTTCTTGCTTGAAATGGAAAAAAAATGAAATTTTAATTTTGGGACTTGATGACAACTATTCATGATTATGAAAAATAAGGAGAGAAAAAGTGCCAAGAATAAAAAAATAAATAAATAGGAAAGGAGTAACTTTCAACTTTGATACAGTTACAAACATAATTTTTGTACATATTTAATAAAGTATATTTGAAAAAAGAATATCCAACAGTCATATTCCTATTAAAATTAGAATACTGCTTTATATTTAAAGACAATGTTTAGCACAATTTAAATTCAAATCTCCATGAATCTGCCTCCATACTATTCTTAATTTTGTTTAATCTCTTCCTTTCAGATTTTCTTTAAATGTCTAAAATGAAGTCTTAGAAAAGAGAAAATGAAATAATTTCTGATTGAATTTTCATAACTGTAATGGATTCAAGGGATGGAAAGGGAAGAGGAGAAATGCAGATTCATGCACCCTCTTAAAATTAAGAAGGAATTCTGATAAAGCACCGGTGTTGGGATAAATAATTTGGGATTCTGATGTTATGACTACATCCCAACTTCCTCTACTGCCCAGGATGCTATTTACCTTTTAAGCCAAAAGGTTCATGACATGGCATCGCCTTCTCAAAACCTTCCAGTTCAGCAAGGTAACTTCCGCCAGTCCAGCTTGGCAGCTGCTGCTCCATTTCATTTTCTGGTAGAAACCAGGAACCTATGTCACCAAAATCATCTTGGAAAATCTTCCTGTACTCTTCCAAAAAGTCTGGTGGAATGTAAAGAGAGAAAAAAAGAATGTAAGAGCTGTCCATATTCTTCACTATGCACCCAGACCAGGGGTAGGCCACCTTGGCTTTTTTATGACTCGTGGACTTCAACTCCCAGAATTCCTGAGCCAGCCATGCTGAGGGGAAAGGGAGAGGTTTCCAAGCTGAGCCAGGCTTGCTCAGGAATTCTGGGAGTTGAAGTCCACAAGTCATGAAGGGGCCAAACTTTCCCCTATGCTGGCTCAGGAATTCTGGGAGTTGAAGTCCACAAGTCATGAAGGGGCCATAGTTCTCCCATGCTGGCTCAGGAATTCTGGGAGTTGAAGTCCACGAGTCATAAAAGAGCCAAGGTTGCCTACCCCTGACCCAGACCCATTGCTGGAATTAGCCATAGCCTGGGACTGATTGATGGGTTGAGATAGCCCCAGCCCGCTGCTCTCTCTGCATTTGTGGCCCGATTATTCGTGCAGGACACAAACATGAAATAATGTTTATTTCTTTGAAGCTGATGCCACAGCAACAACACCTGGCAACCTTGGTAGGTTTTCAAAACAACAATCTAAGCAGGATTAAACCTGACTGGGATGGGAAACCACCAGAAAATATCAGGTTTCAAATAAATAAACAATCGAATACAGGTAGTCCTCGACTTACGATCACAGCTGAGCTCAAAATTTCTGTTGCTAAGTGAGACATTTGTTAAGTGAATTTTGCTTCAGAAGCAACCTAGAACTAAGGAGAAACCTCCTGACAGTTAGAACAATTAACCAGTGGAACAACCTGCCTCCAGAAGCGGTGAATGCTCCAACACTGGAAGTTTTTAAGAAGAGACTGGACAGCCATTTGTCTGAAATGGTATAAGGTTTCCTGCCTGAGCAGGGGGTTGGACTAGATGACCTCCAAGGTCCCTTCCAACTTTATTATTATTATTATTATTATTATTATTATTAT